ACCAAAAAACACACCAACAAACACACCAACAAACACAACAACAAACACACCAACAAACACACCAACAAACACCCCAAAACACCACACCCTGCACGACACCATAAAACACCTCCAACACTACCGCGCCTTATACTCCAATATGAACCCACACCTCCCCTGCAGTCAGTACGACACCCATTAACCACAGTATCCACACGAATAGTCAGCCACCATAAACACCATGTATTAGTGCCAGTGTATGTACGACAAATGTCATATTCCTAACATAATACAGCTCTTTTTTACTTCACTTTATTTGGACATTATGGGGAGGGGGAGAGGGGGGAGGTAGTAACACGCAGAATGTCTACTACTATCTTCTATAAAGAGCATCACAGTAAGTGCACTCCACTCACTTGTTACGTTTTGATACATTGTTTAAATAAAACTTCTAAAACTTTAGTCCACACAAAATCGAGCTTTTTAAGAGCTGTTGCTTTTCTTGTAGAATAATATACAACAATAATCTAATATCACTCAAATACTCCATTCTTACAATCACTACATTTGTGGTTTTGAACACTGCAGCCAGAGATTAGTATATTGGGAGGGGAGGGGATCGTTGTTGTTGTCAGGTACGACGCCAATGTATTATCTTGCTCACTTCATGAATGCGTGCATTATGGTTCGTGGCGGGGCTCGCTCCAGAACTTTTTAAACCCAAATTAGATCTAAATCTAGTAGCCAATGTTTGGGGAGTTAATCATCTGCTGGGCTGTCTTACATGACCCAGTCATTTGACCCGTTTCTGTACTACATGGCCCAGTCATTTGACCCGTTTCTGTCCTACATGACCCAGTCATTTGACCCGTTGCTGTCCTACATGACCTAGTCATTTGACCCGTTTCTGTCTTACATGACCCAGTCATTTGACCCGTTTCTGTCCTACATGACCAAATCATTTGACCCGTTTCTGTCCTACATGACCCAATCATTTGACCCGTTTCTGTCCTACATGACCCAGTCATTTGACCCGTTTCTGTCCTATATGACCCAGTCATTTGACCCGTTTCTGTCCTACATGACCCAATCATTTGACCCGTTTCTGTCCTACATGACCCAGTCATTTGACCCGTTTCTGTCCTACATGACCCAGTCATTTGACCCGTTTCTGTCCTACATGACCCAGTCATTTGACCCGTTTCTGTCCTACATGACCCAGTCATTTGACCCGTTTCTGTCCTACATGACCCAGTCATTTGACCCGTTTCTGTCCTACATGACCCAGTCATTTGACCCGTTTCTGTCCTACATGACCCAGTCATTTGACCCGTTTCTGTCCTACATGACCCAGTCATTTGATCAGTTTCTGTCTTACATGACCCAGTCATTTGACCCGTTTCTGTCCTACATGACCCAGTCATTTGACCCGTTTCTGTCCTACATGACCCAGTCATTTGATCAGTTTCTGACCTACATTACCCAGTCATTTGACCCGTTTCTGTCCTACATGACCCAGTCATTTGATCAGTTTCTGTCTTACATGACCCAGTCATTTGACCCGTTTCTGTCCTACATGACCCAGTCATTTGACCCGTTTCTGTCCTACATGACCCAGTCATTTGACCCGTTTCTTACCTACATGACCCAGTCATTTGACCCATTTCTGTCCTACATGACCCAGTCATTTGACCCGTTTCTGTCCTACATGACCTAGTCATTTGACCCGTTTCTGTCCTACATGACCCAGTCATTTGACCCGTTTCTGTCCTACATGACCCAGTCATTTGACCCGTTTCTGTCCTACATGACCTAGTCATTTGACCCGTTTCTGTCCTACATGACCCAGTCATTTGACCCGTTTCTGTCCTACATGACCCAGTCATTTGACCCGTTTCTGTCCTATATGACCCAGTCATTTGACCCGTTTCTGTCCTACATGACCCAGTCATTTGATCAGTTTCTGTCTTACATGACCCAGTCATTTGACCCGTTTCTGTCCTACATGACCCAGTCATTTGATCAGTTTCTGTCTTACATGACCCAGTCATTTGACCCGTTTCTGTCCTACATGACCCAGTCATTTGACCCGTTTCTGTCCTACATGACCCAGTCATTTGATCAGTTTCTGACCTACATTACCCAGTCATTTGACCCGTTTCTGTCCTACATGACCCAGTCATTTGATCAGTTTCTGTCTTACATGACCCAGTCATTTGACCCGTTTCTGTCCTACATGACCCAGTCATTTGACCCGTTTCTGTCCTACATGACCCAGTCATTTGACCCGTTTCTTACCTACATGACCCAGTCATTTGACCCATTTCTGTCCTACATGACCCAGTCATTTGACCCGTTTCTGTCCTACATGACCTAGTCATTTGATCAGTTTCTGTCTTACATGACCCAGTCATTTGACCCGTTTCTGTCCTACATGACCCAGTCATTTGATCAGTTTCTGTCTTACATGACCCAGTCATTTGACCCGTTTCTGTCCTATATGACCCAGTCATTTGACCCGTTTCTGTCCTACATGACCCAGTCATTTGACCCGTTTCTGTCCTACATGACCCAGTCATTTGACCCGTTTCTGTCCTACATGACCCAGTCATTTGACCCGTTTCTGTCCTACATGACCCAGTCATTTGACCCGTTTCTGTCCTACATGACCCAGTCATTTGATCAGTTTCTGTCTTACATGACCCAGTCATTTGACCCGTTTCTGTCCTATATGACCCAGTCATTTGACCCGTTTCTGTCCTACATGACCCAGTCATTTGACCCGTTTCTGTCCTACATGACCCAGTCATTTGACCCGTTTCTGTCCTATATGACCCAGTCATTTGACCCGTTTCTGTCCTACATGACCCAGTCATTTGATCAGTTTCTGTCTTACATGACCCAGTCATTTGACCCGTTTCTGTCCTACATGACCCAGTCATTTGATCAGTTTCTGTCTTACATGACCCAGTCATTTGACCCGTTTCTGTCCTACATGACCCAGTCATTTGACCCGTTTCTGTCCTACATGACCCAGTCATTTGATCAGTTTCTGACCTACATTACCCAGTCATTTGACCCGTTTCTGTCCTACATGACCCAGTCATTTGATCAGTTTCTGTCTTACATGACCCAGTCATTTGACCCGTTTCTGTCCTACATGACCCAGTCATTTGACCCGTTTCTGTCCTACATGACCCAGTCATTTGACCCGTTTCTGTCCTACATGACCCAGTCATTTGACCCGTTTCTGTCCTACATGACCCAGTCATTTGACCCGTTTCTGTCCTACATGACCCAGTCATTTGACCCGTTTCTGTCCTATATGACCCAGTCATTTGACCCTTTTCTGTCCTACATGACCCAGTCATTTGACCCGTTTCTGTCCTACATGACCAAATCATTTGACCCGTTTTTGTCCTACATTACCCAGTCATTTGACCCGTTTCTGTCCTACATGACCCAGTCATTTGACCCGTTTCTGTCCTACATGACCCAGTCATTTGATCAGTTTCTGTCTTACATGACCCAGTCATTTGACCCGTTTCTGTCTTACATGACCCAGTCATTTGATCAGTTTCTGTCTTACATGACCCAGTCATTTGACCCGTTTCTGTCCTACATGACCCAGTCATTTGATCAGTTTCTGACCTACATTACCCAGTCATTTGACCCGTTTCTGTCCTACATGACCCAGTCATTTGACCCGTTTCTGTCCTACATGACCCAGTCATTTGACCCGTTTCTGTCCTACATGACCCAGTCATTTGACCCGTTTCTGTCCTATATGACCCAGTCATTTGACCCGTTTCTGTCCTACATGACCCAGTCATTTGACCCGTTTCTGTCCTACATGACCCAGTCATTTGACCCGTTTCTGTCCTACATGACCCAGTCATTTGACCCGTTTCTGTCCTACATGACCCAGTCATTTGACCCGTTTCTGTCCTACATGACCCAGTCATTTGACCCGTTTCTGTCCTACATGACCCAGTCATTTGACCCGTTTCTGTCCTATATGACCCAGTCATTTGACCCTTTTCTGTCCTACATGACCCAGTCATTTGACCCGTTTCTGTCCTACATGACCAAATCATTTGACCCGTTTTTGTCCTACATTACCCAGTCATTTGACCCGTTTCTGTCCTACATGACCCAGTCATTTGACCCGTTTCTGTCCTACATGACCCAGTCATTTGATCAGTTTCTGTCTTACATGACCCAGTCATTTGACCCGTTTCTGTCTTACATGACCCAGTCATTTGATCAGTTTCTGTCTTACATGACCCAGTCATTTGACCCGTTTCTGTCCTACATGACCCAGTCATTTGATCAGTTTCTGACCTACATTACCCAGTCATTTGACCCGTTTCTGTCCTACATGACCCAGTCATTTGACCCGTTTCTGTCCTACATGACCCAGTCATTTGATCAGTTTCTGTCTTACATGACCCAGTCATTTGACCCGTTTCTGTCCTATATGACCCAGTCATTTGACCCGTTTCTGTCCTACATAACCCAGTCATTTGATCCGTTTCTGTCCTACATGACCTAGTCATTTGATCAGTTTCTGTCCTACATAACAGTCTAGCTGTCACTACTTACTTTTTAAATACATTGCGTAAAGATAGTGTTTGTTTTGAAGTATTTCTTTTTTTTAACCACCACGGTCTAGCACCTGTTTGCACTTCATTATTTAGATCTAGAGATAAATAGCATGGAACTTTTTGCGGAAAGATTGACATTTACCAACACAGTAGTAGATCTATATCATTTTGGTATACAGAAGTAATGTGTTATTAAAGTAATTTTAGATACTCATTTTCAATCTACTTAATTAAAATATATGATAGTGGCTTTAGGTCATTGCATTAGTAAAAATTATCTGTCATATTCGTGTTTTAACTTTTAAAGCAATCCGCTTGCTCTTTCTAAACCAGTAGAACACACGATGCACGCCAGGTTACCAAAACATTGCGCACTTGAAAGCACTGTCTACGCCACCTCCCAACGTCATTAGCCTCGCACGTCGCTTGGAGATATTTGACGTCATTTGCCAACGCCGTGTAGGAAACACAAGAATTCTTGAGTATTACCTGACCATCATAGTAAAGCCCAAGACAAATATTTATCCCTCTTGGGCTTGAATTTTAGGCCTTTGCTTCCCTTCTTTCCATCGATATCATGTTTCGCAAGTTATCGTACGCTGCTTGCGCCTTGGCGTTAGATGTAAAGCACCGAGTGAATAGCCAGCAGGATGGAGGACTCCTACAAGAAAATGCTCTGAGTAAACTCTGTCTTGAGAAATGCTTACCGAAAAAAGTGAATGCCGGACCAAACGACTGCCAGTTGTATGTTGGTGACAGGATCAAGCGAGCCGTCGGATTTCCACAGCTAACGGCCTGTTGTAAGCCACTACGTTACAAAGATTTTATTATTTCCTATGATACAAAGAACCGAATTCCAAACTGGGTTTACGAACATCTCCAGTACTACAAATTCTACAAAGATGACCCCTGCGACAGGAGAGTCAATGTCTGCCCATACAAGTAAGTCTACTTATTCCTTTTTAAATATAGCAATAAGATTGTTCCAAAGCATTGGCGTGCTTATTTCACAATGCTACCTTTGAGCATGTGATCTAAAAGTCGAATCTCTTCTGGTTGTACAAAATAGACACAGGTTTCAAAATGAAATTGCTGACTTTCAAAATCCTCGAAAACGAATCCACACAGCAATGGTTCCAGTGTTGGCAGCACCATTTAATTTTTAACAACCTATGGACTTATAGTATAGACCATAGACTAAAGTATAGACATCTAGATCTAGAAATAATCAGCGTCACTGGGTTGCATATAAACGACCAAATTTATGGTTCCATTTGAATTTGTGGCTAGCTAATTAGACATAAAGATCTTCTAGAATCCACATGTAGACAATCTAGAATCTAGATCTAGTGTCAAATCAGTATCAATTAAAGGTAACATTGCTTTTCTCAATGTCGTGGTGAAAGAAAACTACAGCCTTGGTGATATATTAACACTAGCAACTGCCTTATTGTGAATAATAATAGCCATATTTTGTATTAGGAACTCAACAATAGCCACGTTGTATTGAGGAACTGTTATACATTAGCCTTGATTTTTAAATTAATCCTGCCTTTTCTTGTATTCGGGAACATTGTAACAATAGCTAGAGATCGATTTGATAATGGGAATTATAACAACAGCCATATGATTTGAGAAACTATATACCTCCAGCCTTGATTATTTAATAAAAGCCGTGTGCTATTATAGAAGCTATTTAATTTAGAATCTAGATCTATATAAAAATATTGGCCTTACCTTGTGTTAGATTGGGAAGCTATATAACAAATCTTAGCCTTGTGTTAGATTGGGAAGCTATTTAACAAATCTTAGCCTTGTGTTAGATTGGGAAGCTATTTAACAAATCTTAACCTTGTGTTAGATTGGGAAGCTATTTAACAAATCTTAACCTTGTGTTAGATTGGGAAGCTATTTAACAAATCTTTGCCTTGTCTTGTTATATTGGGTAACTATATAACAAATCTTTGCCTTGCTTGTTATATTGGGTAGCTACTAAACATATTTTTGCCTTGCCTTGCTATATTGGGTAGCTATATAACAAATCTTTGGCTTGCCTTGTTATATTGGGTAACTATATAACAAATCTTTGCCTTGCCTTGTTATATTGGAAACTATATAACAAATCTTTGCCTTGCCTTGTTATATTGGGTAACTATATAACAAATCTTTGCCTTGCCTTGTTATATTGGAAACTATATAACAAATCTTTGCCTTGCCTTGTTATATTGGGTAGCTACTAAACAAATCTTTGCCTAGCCTTGTTATACCGGGGCGTTGTGTAACAGACCTAGCCTTTTTAACAAAAGTTATGTGCTATTGTAGTCATATTTTGGCGCTGTATAATCTTACTGGACTGTTAGTCCGAAGGTATCGAGTTCTGATGGGTACCTGAATTATACGCTAGAGAAAGGCATTATGGGGTTCTATAACTAGGGCTTGTAAATTGATAAATAGTCAACTGAATTGTATCGGGGATCTGTATGCCATTGCTCTAGTGATGTGTAGCATTATGTTCTACTTGAGGCTGCAAAACACAACTGCCTTTACCATTACGTTGTATAAGGGAGCTAAACCAGTTGTTGCCCGACAGCCCCTTTATACTTTATGTTAATGTGAAGCTGTATGTCTTGTAGAGTAGGACTACTAAAACAGCTAAGGCTAATGTTGTATTCATGAGTTGTTTACAATAGAAGTCTTTTATATAACAATTTTCCTAAGGTAGTATCTGAATACTACGAATTAAGAGCTGTGTAACAACTTTCTAAGGTACATTGGGAGCTGTCAAACTTGGTAAACAATTTTCTAAGGTAGCAACAATTTTGTCACTTAGTATCGGGAGCCTTATGCGATATTGGGCGCTTTGTAACGAGAACCTGAGATTATGTCAGAAGTTGTTTAATTAGGTAAGATAGTATCTAAGGAATAGATGTTCTTCACTTCTTTTGTGTCCATACAGCGAAGATTCAGCAAATCTTGGAAACGAAAAGCCGAAATTCCACCCTGACTGTCGTATCCATGGTTACCATCGTGCTGATGTTCGTGACTATTGCGACACCGAGTACGAACTTGGTCTGATGGCCGACCCAGCCAACTATCCATTTGATGCCGAGGCTTGTGCCGAAACTCAGGTCATGACCAACGTGGTGCCAATTGTAAGTCTATCATCGACTTTTTTCTGAACAGATAGTTGGTGCACAATTAATACAATATTCTTCTTGTGGATATCTCTAGAGCCTAAATTTGTTTTTATTAATTTTTCTTTAGTAAATTACCGCAACTTCAACCTAAACAGATAACAATGAGAAAATGTTCGGGGAATCCACCTCATCTAAAGCTATTTAAAATGTCCTTGTTCACCACTTGCATATTTCTAGGAGCAAACATGATCCCACCAAAAACGACAAATAAAAAGAAACCAAAAGAAGTTGATTAGTCCTCAAGTAGACAATTTACCTTAATTATGACTCATTAAAAAAAACTTTTTTGTCGAAATAGCACAAATCATTCCCTTGATTATGAACCTAACACTAATTACAATGTAACGGGATAATATGTTGTCTCTCTGTCACGCGTTTAAAAGATGACACACAAGCATATTTTAACATTCTATACATTGCCTCTGCCTCAGGATGTCTTAACATTGTTATCGTTTCCTCTCCAGGTTGTCTTAACATTGTTATCGTTGCCTCTCCAGGTTCTCTTAACATTATTATCGTTGTCTCTCCATGTTGTCTTAACATTGTTATAGTTGTCTCTCCAGGATGTCTTAACATTGTTATCGTTGTCTCTCCAGGATGTCTTAACATTGTTATCGTTTCCTCTCCAGGTTGTCTTAACATTGTTATCGTTGTCTCTCCAGGTTCTCTTAACATTATTATCGTTGTCTCTCCATGTTGTCTTAACATTGTTATCGTTGTCTCTCCAGGATGTCTTAACATTGTTGTCGTTGTCTCTCCAGGATGTCTTAACATTGTTATCGTTTCCTCTCCAGGTTGTCTTAACATTGTTATCGTTGTCTCTCCAGGTTCTCTTAACATTATTATCGTTGTCTCTCCAGGTTGTCTTAACATTGTTATCGTTGCCTCTCCAGGTTCTCTTAACATTGTTATCGTTGCCTCTCCAGGTTCTCTTAACATTGTTATCGTTTCCTCTCCAAGTTGTCTTAACATTGTTATCTTTGCCTTTCCAGGTTGTCTTAACATTGTTATCGTTGCCTCTCCAGGTTCTCTTAACATTGTTATCGTTGTCTCTCCAGGTTCTCTTAAAATTGTTATCGTTGTCTCTCCAGGTTCTCTTAACATTGTTATCGTTGTCTCTCCAGGTTCTTTTAACATTGTTATCGTTGTCTCTCCAGGTTCTCTTAACTTTATTATCGTTGTCTCTCCAGGTTGTCTTAACATTATCTTTTCCTCTCCAGGTTGTCTTAACATTGTTATCGTTGTCTCTCCAGGTTGTCTTAACGTTGTTATCGTTGACTCTCCAGGTTCTCTTAACATTGTTATCGTTGTCTCTCCATGTTGTCTTAACATTGTTATCGTTGCCTCTCTAGGTTCTCTTAAAATTGTTATCGTTGACTCTCCAGGTTGTCTTAACATTGTTATCGTTTCCTCTCCAGGTTGTCTTAACATTGTTATCGTTGTCTCTCCAGGTTGTCTTAACATTGTTATCGTTTCCTCTCCAGGTTGTCTTAACATTGTTATCGTTGTCTCTCCAGGTTGTCTTAACATTGTTATCGTTGCCTCTCTAGGTTCTCTTAAAATTGTTATCGTTGACTCTCCAGGTTGTCTTAACATTGTTATCGTTTCCTCTCCAGGTTGTCTTAACATTGTTATCGTTGTCTCTCCAGGTTGTCTTAACATTGTTATCGTTGACTCTCCAGGTTGTCTTAACATTGTTATCGTTTCCTCTCCAGGTTGTCTTAACATTGTTATCGTTGTCTCTCCAGGTTGTCTTAACATTGTTATCGTTGTCTCTCCAGGTTGTCTTAACATTGTTATCGTTGCCGCTCCAGGTTCTCTTAATATTGTTATCGTTGCCTTTCTAGGTTCTCTTAACATTGTTATCGTTGTCTCTCCAGGTTGTCTTAACATTGTTATCGTTGTCTCTCCAGGTTGTCTTAACATTGTTATCGTTGTCTCTCCAGGTTCTCTTAACATTGTTATCTTTTCCTCCCCAGATTATCTTAACATTGTTATCGTTGCCGCTCCAGGTTCTCTTAATATTGTTATCGTTGCCTTTCTAGGTTCTCTTAAAATTGTTATCGTTGACTCTCCAGGTTGTCTTAACATTGTTATCGTTTCCTGTCCAGGTTCTCTTAATATTGTTATCGTTGCCTCTCTAGGTTCTCTTAACATTGTTATCGTTGCCTCTAGTGTCTATTTATCCTAATTTCCTCTATTGCTCTAGGTCCCAGGGTTCAGCTGTGGCCCATGGTTCGATCTGCAATGCTATATTCGAGAAAAACTAGTGCGAGAGAACAAGAGTGTCTACGTGTGCTCTGGCCCTCTCTTTCTGCCTAGGTAGGATTTTTGTTTTTAAGAGTTAGCTGTAAGAATAGGTTTCAGCAATTTGAAAAATTATAATTTTTGACAAGATAAAACATATTGCATGATATATCCCTTCCCTTTAGTATTTATTTACCAATTAAATATACCACTAATGTTTGGCTCAACAACCTTAAGTAGCAATAGATAGCGTGCTAAATATTTTAAATAGGGAATTTTAGGGCTCATACCCAAAACATCTTTTATTACTAGTTTAGCGTAGTTCTCTCCCCGTAATTCCAAAATCTATTTCTTGTGTTTGTTTTGCACAGTGACAATGATGGCAAAGTCGAAATGAAATTTGATGTCTTGGGCGAAGGTGAAGTGTCCGTTCCCACCCACTTTTTTAAGGTAATTATTTATGAATCACAATTTAAGACAAACTTTGACTAGCTGTGTCAATTAGAGTATTATCGTTGCTTCTATTTATAATGTTCACTTAACATAATTATCATAGCATCATCTATTTCCAATGTTCACCTAACATAATTATCGTTGCTTCAATTCCCCATGTTCAATTAACATAATTATCGTTGCATCATCTATGCTCAATGTTCACTTAACAATATCGTGGTATCATGTTCGCTAAACATTATTATCGTTGCGTGTATGTTCAATTTTATCATCGCAGTATCAACGTTACATCACTTAACTTGATTATCGGTGCATCTATGTCCGGTGTTTCGCTTAACATTATTATCGTTGTATCCCATGTTCACTCAATATTAATATCGTAGCATCATCTATGTCCCATGTTCATTTAACATTATTATCGTTGCATCTGTCCCATGTTCACTCAACATTATTATCGCTGCATCCCATGTTCCCTTACATTATCGTTACATCATCTGTCTTGTTATCTTAAGATTATCATCGTTGCATCTTCTATGTCCCATGTTCACTTAACATTATTATCGTTGTATCCCATGTTCACTTAACATGATTATTATCGTTGCATCATCTATATCCCATGTTCACTTGGCATTATTATCGTTGCATCATCTATCCCATGTTCACTTAACATTATTATCCTTGTATCCCATGTTCACTTAACATTATTATCGTTGTATCCCATGTTCACTTGACATTATTATCGTTGCATCCTCTATGAATTTAACATTATTATCGCTGCATCATCTATGCCCAATGTTCACTTAACATTATTATCGTTGTATCCCATGTTCACTTAACATTATTATCGCTGTATCATCTATGCCCCATGTTCACTTAACATTATTATCGTTGTATCCCATGTTCACTTAACATTATTATCGCTGCATCTTCTATGCCCCATGTTCACTTAACATTATTATCGCTGCATCTTCTATGTCCCACGTACACTTAACATTATTATCGTTGCATCTGTCCCATGTTCACTTAACATTATTATCGTTGCATCATCTATGTCCCATGTTCACTTAACATTATTATCGTTGTATCCCATGTTCACTTAACATTATTATCGTTGCATCATCTATGTCCCATGTTCACTTAACATTATTATCGCTGCATCCCATGTTCACTTAACATTATTATCGTTGTATCCCATGTTCACTTAACATTATTATCGTTGCATCTTCTATGTCCCATATTCACTTAACATTATTATCGCTGCATCCCATGTTCACTTAACATTATTATCGTTGTATCCCATGTTCACTTAACATTATTATCGTTGCATCATCTATGTCCCATGTTCACTTGACATTATTATCCTTGCATCATCTATGTCCCATGTTCACTTAACATTATTATCCTTGTATCCCATGTTCACTTAACATTATTATCGTTGTATCCCATATTCACTTAACATTATTATCGTTGCATCATCTATGTCCCATGTTCACTTAACATTATTATCGTTGCATCATCTATGTCCTATGTTCACTTAACATTATTATCGTTGCATCATCTATGTCCCATGTTCACTTAACATTATTATCGTTGCATCATCTATGTCCCATGTTCACTTAACATTATTATCGTTGTATCCCATGTTCACTTAACATTATTATCGTTGCATCATCTATGTCACATGTTCACTTAACATTATTATCGTTGCATCATCTATGACCCATGTTTACTTAACATTTTTATCGCTGCATCCCATGTTCTCTTAACATTATCGTTACATCATCTGTCTTGTTATCTTAAGATTATCATCGTTGCATCAACTATGTCCCATGTTCACTTAACATTACTATCGTTGCATCACCAATCACCTATGTTCACTTAACATTTTTATCATGTACGTACCATGTTCTATACAGTAGCAGCAAAATCTAACCTGCAATGTTTTATATCTCAAAGGTAATTATCATTGAAACACACGACGGGAACCTTGAATTGGAGTCTTACATGATGCCAAATAGCAAGCCAGAAGAAGGAGAGGAGGTGAAACTAGATGAATTTCTTACTCCACTATGCCAGATTGAGCATGCATCAGGGCTCATATTCTTCCCTGAAAAGAAAGTCTGTTTCACTAGCAACAATAAGAGAAGAGGCGCCCGGCTGCATGCACTATAATCTAGTCTCTAATATATTCCGTCACACCCAACTACTCCAGGAATAGGTCAGAATTCTTGCACTAGCAATGGGACATTTAAGCCATCAAATAAGATATTCAATTGGAAGAATTCTTCTACTTAAAATGTGTTGACACAATTGGCATGGAGTAAACTATGCTCCTTCTTAAGATTGACATCATACCAGAATACTTTTGAGATCCATATTACTACTGTTATTCAGGTTGTGTTTAACATCAAATGGTTAATGTATTTAACAGCCAATAAAATTTCACTTAACCAAATGCAATATTTTGAGTTATTCACTTTTTCTTATTATAATCTCAATACAGGATTTTTCCAGTCATTATCATGTTGGTTCCAATTGACAGAAGAGGTACATGATCTATTTGAAATTATTTTATGGTGAACTCTAGTATATCACAATGAATTCATGTTGTATTCAACTGTAAACAGTAAACTGCTGCATTTAGAGCAAAATATTTTATTTCTGACTCTTGGTAAAACATTAACATACATTCACAGCTTATGTCACCACACATTCAAACAAAATAAGTCAACATAGAACATTCTCTCACCCAAGGTTTAAAAAATGCACAGTATAAATATAATAATCTGAGAACAGTCTTAGCTCAGCATCAAAATGAACAGTCAATGGTTATTAAATAAATTAGAAATCTTGATTTTTCTATTGCTTTAAACTTTTAACAACAGAATATGGTTTTTATTTTAAATACAAACCAATCTTTCTCAAGTTCACTTTAAAAGATGTGAATTTTAAATTTTCAAAATGTAATTTAGTGTAAAAAAAAAATTCCATCTCTGTGATGTGTTTGTTACATAATAAATGTAATAACTAAAATAAACAAATGTAACCTATAGGGAAAATGTTAAGCCACAAAACATTTGAAACCTCACCAAAAGAAATCTCATGGTGTGCTAAATTGTGTGCATGGGAGTAATCATTCTAGGGTTTGAACCCTTTTTTCCTTTGTCCAAGGATCTTTTTAAAATTTGGATGTGTATGCAAGTCAAACAGCTAAAGTGTTTTCCTATTCAATTTCTCCAAAATTTAATTATTTTCAGCACACCATAGTTGTAATGTTATTTGTAAATGTAAAGCTTAATACTGACACCAATTTAAATTAAGTTGCTTTAATAGAATTCAATAAAAAATATGCTTTCTTACCAAACATTAATAAATAAGATATAAACATTTATTCAATAGTGTACCCTCTGTAACATACACACACACTGTTGTGCTTAATTAGGTGGCAAATTTTCTATTGGAGTACTAAATTTAAAGTCTTTAGGGAAGAGTTCTGCAGCTTTAGGAATCATTGACTTGTAAGACTGCCTGATGGTTACCTCTGCCACACCAGCAATATCTCCAATTTCTGGCAGGGGAAGAAAAATTCAAATTGCACATTCAATTGTCTATGTCTGAACAAAATTTCTAACTGGAAACTTTAAGTACTTTAAGTTTAAGCTCTACTTTTTTTCCAATAACATTTCATGACAATGTAAATAAATTTGACTATCCTACATTTGGTAAATTATTTCCTAAAACCTTCAGCATTTGTTTAATTAGTATAGATACAAACACAGCCAACATACAAAAAAGTAGGCCTATGTGCAAAGTATAAGTGTTTACTTATAATATTGTGTAAACTTATCAATACATTTTTTTTTACTGATATTCCATCATTTTATTTTGTTTGTTTTTCATATGTCTCAATGACCTTGACATACAGGTGATAATGTGGTCAGCATTTTGTGGAGTCCGGGATCTGAACTTGTGAATTTCGGGTTGACAATCAAATGCTCTACCATTCAACTACTCAATCCTTTTAGTATGCATTTACATAAACATTACATTTTTAAAATAATAACAAAGCTTTTTTTATCAGATTTTAAAAAGAGGCCAAAACTAGTTTACCTTTGGCAGTTTTTTTGTCATCAGAAGCTTGTGAAGCCATATAAATAGCAGCAGCAGCCACTGATATAGGACTTCGGCTGTCAAAAAAAAAAAAAACCTTTTAAAAAAAAAACTACAAATAAAAAGTTTGTAAGCTTCTTTGAAATAAATTAACTGTTTTACCTTTACAGAATATAAAAACAAAAAATGGTCATACATATTGCTGTCATTTTTAAAAGAACATTTTCTATGCCTTACTTTTTTAAATTATGTATGTTTAAGAAATTTCAATCTGGGTAACTTTATTCAATAGTTTTGTGGTTTAACTTTACCCAGGCACAAGGTCCATTTCAACAGCCCTGCGAGCGATATGAGTAGCAGCTTTTTGGACTGAAGGGGGGAGACTTAGGTTAGAGCAGAAACGTGACTGCAAAGTAAAATACATTCAATTAACTATAAACAGTAGGGTTGTTTGTAAGAGAAATATGCAATACATGAAATTCTAGCAACATAGGTGATTGCAATTAAGAAAATAATGAATTGAGAACATTACAAGCAAACTATAATCAATCTTACCATAAAATCTCCTGTAGTAATAAGATCCACATTGGTCTCCAGGTTTTTGAGGATTAACTTAAAAACTCGACCAATCTCTTTTTTGCTGATTTTGGAAACTGCACAAATTTCTGTTATACAAAAATAATTGTAAGAAACTGTGTCTACTTATTTCTAGTATATATCTTTTTACCCTAATGTATGACATTCTCTCTGATGAAGAATCTATTTTTATTGTTTTACCTACAATGGGGAAAAAGCTAAAGATTAAAAAAGAAAACTTTTCAGCAAATAATTGAAGCACAGAAAATAAAAGATGGGAGATTTAAAAACTGACATAAACCAGGCTTCATGTAAATGAATCATGCAAGGTAACATACATCAAACTGCCCTTGTAAGAACAACACACACACACTTGAAGTTACAAAAATAGAATAGAATATTGTAACAAACAAATTGCCTTTTAAGGTACGAGGAACTCCTTCCTGCCGACAAGCTATGTACATACATGCAGATACAATGGCATCATTACTTCGGCCCTTCAAAGCTTTGCTTTCGTGAACTTGCTTGAAAAGTGTATTGGCACGATCCTAAAAAGAACTATTTATAATCAAACATGTTTTGATGCTTAAGCACATGGCTTCTACAGATTTAAGCAGGTACAGTAAATGTGAAAATAACTAGTTTCTTAAATTTATAAACATTTAAACATATATGAAAATATTTCTTTACACAGGAAATAACTATGATAAAATACTATGCTAAAGTTGTTAGGAGATTTTTCATTTGAATCTTAAAATTAATTACAACGAGCATCTTGGGTAGATTAAGTCTATCTGCCATTTGTCCTATCTCTCTGAAAGCTGTGAGCAAGGCTCTGTCAGAGCTGTTCATCTGAGAAAAGAAATCAAGTTCTTTTTATTAAGTAACAAATGAATGATGAAAAGCTAGTTTTATACTCTGAGAAAGCTAAGTACAAACTTACTGTTCTTCTGTTTCTGTACATTGGTTTTCCAAATTCATCCCTTAAACTATCACTTCCTGTTCCAGTTGCAATCATTGTGGACATGTCACTCCCATCAAACAGTGGATTCTGTTACAAAAATCATTCAAAGACATTGAGTTCATGCTTCCTCCCATAACTATCCATTAACAATAAACAATGAGACAGAAAGGCAAACCTAGAGAAAAGTAGTTTAAATAAGAAGATATCACCTCTGCAGCACCAACACGTGAGTTGTCTTTAGTATTTTTTTCATTGCTGAATGTTCTCCACTCAGATCCCACATCAATGACTCTAGACAAAATCAGTAAATATGATACAAATATTCATTAATGTCTATGTCAACAATTTAATTCAGTTAACTTAAATGAAAAATGCAAGCCATAAAAATATGGAACTGAATATATGACTCCTACAATAAAATTTCACAATTCACAAGTGTAATACCTGTCTCCAACAACCAATCCACACACAGAACAAATCATATCGCCTGCATGATAATCTTCAACAAGTGGGGTGTCTGGATGTTCTCGACAGAAAACTTGAGCAGACAAACTGAAAAAATTATATTAACACTAACCTTTATTGTTTGATTTTTTTAACTGCAATCAATAAAAAAAATTGTGTTGAGCCTTCAAGTAATGTGGCTACAGCCTTTTTGTATGACCTATTACTTTGTGAGAGGTCCAGTCTGCTAAGCTGAGATTAGATATTTTTTATAATAGCAGTGTTTTTTTAAGCAAAAGGCATAAAATGTATTATTTTATGAACAACTCATTATTTACAGTAATTATTATTCACTTTATATTGTAATCAATTTTATCAAAAGATTTCTACAACATTACTGATTAGATTATAACAATGAATGTTTAGTGTATGCTAAGCATTTTACATCTGTTGCATACACGTTCATTTTACTGAGTAGGCCTACAAGGTAGCGGGAGATATAATGTGAGAACTAATGTCTCAGGTAAAATAAATAATGTATGTTATATTCCCACTTTGGTCGAAAATAGAAAAAAAAATGGCCCTGAGAAAATAGAAAAAAAAAAAAAATATGAATGACCCTAAAGAAAAACTTATGAAAATAACTATAAGCCATGTAATTGAATTGGAGAACTCTAGCTGATGACACATTTGTGCTAAATGTCTAATGTGACACAAAACTCCATAAAATTAACCCACTGTAATTGTTACAGCTTAGTAGCCATTAAATAACCAACACATTTTTTCAAAAAGCTTTTTCTAGGCTGCTGATTTATTTTGATAATTAAAATTAGTAGGCTTATCAAATTAAATTCAAATAAATCTATAATTTTTAATTGTTCAAGTCATCTGATGTCATGCAGCTTAAAATCTTAGGCGACACCACGCATGTGAGATATTAATAAAAACACTTAATGTAAGGTCTACTAATTTATTAAAGCTACTATTGTTAGGCCTATATACTACATAAGAGAAAAAATCAAGTAGGCTTTATTTAACGGTAAAAAAAATGCTGATCTTTCATCTGCTCTAATAGTGTACTGTCTTCCCAAGAACTAGATCTTTATTCCTGTCTGATTTATTTTTTGTTTTTGAATATTCTTGGTACATTATTTTAGCTCATGTTTGAACTAGTGAACATATTAAGTGGACCAGAACATTCTTCCCAAATGGGGCCTTTATTTTAAGGTAGCTTTGATGACAAAAAAGAAACATGATTTTAAAATATTTTATAAATTCTCTTTATCCATATCAACAATAATGATTAACGATGGAAGGACTCTTCAATTTGGTCATGTCCATTAATTTTAATTTTTAAACAAATTTTAAATAACTACTTTTCTGTTTAGGTGATTAGTGACTGATTAGCCATGAATTAGTATTGATTAGGGGGCTTAGTGTTAATTGCTAATTAGTAGCAATGCCCACAAACCTAAAAGGAGTGGTTGGTTGTTAACAACAATATGGCTTCTTAACCTGGCATACGATTGGACACATTTTTTTGCTTTCTTCACAACATTAGGTTTAAAAATATGGATAATACTTATTTGTCTATTTTTTCATGTAATTAGACTAATTAAGCTAAATTATTTGTCTTTCAACCGGGCTAAGGGATAATAGATATTTGTTATGACAATAAAAGCCCCGAACTCATAATTTTGTGTTCATCACTGGAAATCAATGAGAGTTGGGCTACTACAACTAGACTTAGCATTAGCTGGCTTATCTATATATATAATTATCTTCTTGGAGACGATAGAAAACACCAAGCTGTAAGCGCGCTCCCTACCTGGTCTGGTGAGCTGTGGTTCACGCTAAATGTTTACAATCATAGAGCTGGGTTTAGTGACGGCTATTAGGGGCAGATAATTTAGTTTGCAACGATTTTAAACTTAGGGGAGGTAACTAAGAGGAGTTTACTTCACGGGGGGGGGGGTATTGTCCTTAACGAGCTACTGATAGTGTTTTAAAGCAAATATTTTCAGTGGCAGCGTTGGTACTGTCGAATTCACAAATACTGAAAAGTAGAAAATAAAACAACTAAATAGTGGCGTATAATACGCCGCGTTTTGTAGAATTAATGTTAAAAACACCAAATTAAGCATGAAGTTGTGTGGTCGAGTGGAAATGTGGGTGACTGCTGTGACAGAAGGTGCGGGTTAGAACCCATCTTATGACCATTTATCAAAATTTTATTTTTTCCCATTGTTCATGAAAGGGTTAAATTTGTTAACTTTTTAATTGTTTGTGACGTGATTAATGGCATATCTGCAAAAAGACCTGTCCCTTAGATTTTTGCTAAGAAAAAAAAAACAACTTGGGAATAGTGTGATGGAAACTGAATTAAAATTATAGTTCTATGCAAATTTGAAATGGTAATTGACAGTTGAATAGCAATATGAACTACTAACTAAACTGATGCATAATTAATATTATTTATTTAAAAATTACTAGATTTATTAATTAGACTAGTACAAGTATATATTTAATTACGAGTGCATAATGATAATTGAATTGATCAGTTCATCTACGACCGACATAGCAAATATGAGCCTAAAAAAAGCCATAATATATTTTTTTAATGAAAATGTAACACAATAAAAATGCTCTCTTAATCTATACCTCACTCCCAGTCACAAAAAATGCTTTTATTCCCGTAAGATATTATTCCCAGTCGTAGTATTTAGCATGAAATGACAGCCAACTGGGAATAGCCGTATTGGCGGGGCTAATCAGTCGGCTGCGAATAGCCCCAATACGACTATTCCCAACCGGCTGAGAATAGTCTTGGCCAAAAAGATTATAAATAAGCATTACAATCCCAATTAAATAATAAATAGCATGTGATCGTCGGCTGGAGAAAAATCCCTACATGGACATGGTGAAGGGTTCACCGTGAGTTCACATTGACTTAATCAGCATACGTCATTAGCTTAGGGCCATTGTGAGTTCATTTATAATTTATAGTATCATGAGTGAGAGATACTTTTAACAATACAATGAATACAAAATTATCTGACTTGCACATAGATTTTTAGAGTTTCTCCTTAAAATAAAATGCCTTAAAAAAGTTTAATGAAATGACGACAGTATGACACAAACCTATTTTCAAGAGAAAAAAAAGCTAAAAAAAAGTAAATCTAGTGCACATTCAACATTCCAAATTTGGATTTTTCTCATGTCTTGACAAAGTAAATTATCAAAAATTAAAACCAAAGTTCATAAACTCGTCATAAAGAAATCAAATATTAATATTCTAGAATCTAGTGAAGTGAGAAGTGTCAGCGTTTAACGACGTTTTTTAGGCATTCCATTAAAAAAATTAAAATTGGCTAATTAAATGTATGAGCATTGCAAAAATATTGTGCTTGATGTAACTAGAATAACACTGAAAAAATTTTCTTTCTAGCTTCAGTAGTTTTTTTTTTATGAATTTTTTACGTAATGGGTGAATGTCCACTATATTTCTTTGTAAGTCATGAAAATCACTGTCCCCTAACTTTGAAATAGCACTGCTCAGTTATTTTTAAAGATACAATGTTAAAACTTTGCAGGATCTTACTTCAGCATGTTAGAATAACATATATTAATTGAAATCATTAAGTCATTCACTGGGAGCAGAATAATTAACATTCCTTTAAGGGATACATTACGGCTATTATGGGCCCTAATTTCTAAGTTGCACTGCTCAGTTGTTTTTAAAACTACAATGTTTAAACTTTGCAGGATCTTACTTCAGCATGTTTGAATTACATATATTAATTGAAATCATTAAGTCATTCACTGGGAGCAGAATAATTAGCATTCCTTTAAGGGATACATTACGGCTATTATGGGCCCTAATTTCTAAGTTGCACTGCTCAGTTGTTTTTAAAACTACAATGTTTAAACTTTGCAGGATCTTACTTCAGCATGTTTGAATTACATATATTAATTGAAATCATTAATTCATTCCCTGGGAGCAGAATAATTAGCATTCCTTTAAGGGATACATTTTGACTATTATGGGCCCTAATTTCTAAGTTGCACTGCTCAGTTGTTTTTAAAGGTACAATGTTAAAACTCTGCATGATCTTACTTCAGCATGTTCGAATTACATTTATTAATTAATAGACTTGCCAGTAGCAGAACAAATTGAATAAAAAGGTAGTAGGCACTAATTTTTTTTTAATAAATTAAACCGAACAATTTATCTTAGGCACACTGGCAAGCCGGGAGTTTTATTTACTGAATGGTTGTCTTTAAAAACTATTATTATTAGCAACACAACAAGTAGAATAACTTAAATAACATTTCAGGAAGCCTACACCAAATTAATAACATTGCAAGTAAAAAAAACAACTCATCTCTATTATCTTATCAGGATAAATGTTTTATATTAAATGATTCTCAATAAATAATTAAATTTACACAATTAAACAAAAAGCAAAGTTAATATATACATCAAAACAATAAACTTTTAAGGTAGACATAGCTTACATCAATACAATAACAGGTGAGACTTATACCAAGTTAAGCTTTGTACAACATGGACTACTACTGTCATCCTAGCTACTAAACACAAGGTCACCTGTCAGTAAATCAGTGACTAGAGATGTCATTGTCATGTCATAGTCAACACTGTCAGTTTCCAATTCATCAGGTCCCCAGTAAGTAATTGTACATTTCATTGTCTTAGTCTTCTGTTGCTTAAAATTTACCACTCTGCCAGAATACATTTTATCAACTCCTTCCTCTGTCCATAAATGCTTAAGTAGATGTCCTGTATAGGTTTCAGTCAGTTCAGACATAGGATTTTCTGAAGTAATATACATTGCAATGAGGCCCATAACTTCAGATGACGCAGATGAAAACACACTAGCATTCAGATCTTTAGCACTCAAAGCCATAGCAACCTCTTTTTCTAGAGCCTTACGGTTGGATTGTTCATGTTTCTGACCAGCTTCTAGCATTCGACGCATCATCACTGCTTCCATCATCTTCTTCCTTTGTGCTGCAAGTTCCCTTGCTCTGTACCCCTCTTTCATTGCAAAATAAACTAATCTATGTTGGGTCATTTTGTCCTGTTGCAGAAGCCATCCTACAGTATCATTTGTCCTTCCTCTCACCTTTCCGTCTACAAAACCAGCTGTCGCATTAGGGGCCCGACGCCATAAATAGTCAGTCATTCCTAATATTCTCTCAGCTGCCATGTTGTGTGAAGGAGCAGTTGAAGCTTGTGTCAACTGCTCAACTGTAGGGCTAGAAAGGTCGCCACAATTTCATGTAATATTTGCTTCAAAGTTTGCTTTACTTTATCCCTGTGGGATTCAATATTGTTGATGATTGCTGTCAGCACCATGTCTGAAGCTGCATCAATGGGTTCATTAAAAACATTCACAGTGGGACATAACAACTCTTCTGGCTCAGCAGCAAACCTGTCCAAAACATTTTTAGAGCTTTGTATCACAGGGACCATGTCTAAATTCATTGAATTTGCATAGAATTTAGTCATCCATGGCCCTGTGACTGTTTTCCCAATTAACCCGAGTGCAATTAATTGAGCAACAACCCTAGGGTCATCCAGCTGTTCCTTAATGCTTTTTTTAAGGTTGGTGCCTCCTAATTCAACAAATTTCTTCAGCTCTTTCAGATATAAAATTATAATTCCAGCTGAATGGAATAAAATGTGCAACCGGTTACCGACGTACCGAAGGAAAACTCCCACTGGAATATTTTTTTCTCTAAAATAGGTCTTGAACCCGCTAGGGTCTCCACTGGATTGCTTGTATCTGAGCTTGGAAATACTCAAAATACAGTGCAATGTCTTGTTGCCTATCTCAGTATCATTTTCCAATGCTCTTCTGGCACCAGCAGCAAAACTATCTAGCGGATGAACATTGCAATTCAATTCCAGCAGGTGTGTCTGTAACAAAGTATTCAGCTGGTTTACAACACAATGATTCACAGCTGCCCTATCTGTCACAGTGGATTTAATGGTGGACATAAGAGTTTTGTACAGCTGCTCTAAATTTGGATGATTTATGTATTTACAATATATGTTTACAATATCTTTTAACTTAACACTAATATGTTCTATGTAATCTACAGCTTTACCACCAGGTAAAGGTTTTACATCAACAGCAAGAGTTTTACCTGCAGCAGAAATATGGATTTCATTTACATGACTTCCATCAATGGTGGTTGCATCCCATGACAGTGTAGCACCATCAAGGGATGCAAGTGCCTCGCCAACCTGCAGATCAGCTAAAATGCCTATTTCATAAGCCATTTGAGCCACTGTAGATTTGCGAGGCACGCAGTCAAGTTTCATTCCAGCTTCCTGCTCCAGGAAAAACTGTAATAGCTGTCCAGCAGCTAACACAGAAACATTTTTCAACAAAGATTGGTACATACAAATTCTCATAGAAGTACCATAATGCTTTCCTTCTTTGGTTACAATATTTTGTCCCTCTTCTTGGGGTTCGTGCATGTTGATGGCATTATCATACATTAATTCTAAATCATTGACCATTGATTTTAAATTTTTGATGGTTTTGTTTTTGATCTTGACCATATTTTCTAGTGCTTCAATTTTTCTTTCTCTTCTTGATAATTTTTTCTTTAAACTGGCAACTTGATTCAGTTTCATTTTGTATTGAATGGAATCTGCAAACGGATTGCAGTTAAGTTTTTTTTTAATCTCTACTTTCTCTGCTTCCAACTGTCTATTCTTTTTCTCTTGTTTGAGGAGTCTGTCAGTGAGTCGTTTAATTTTTTTATTTAGATCTTTAATTTGAAAAACTTTATTTGATTGAAGTTCATTTTGATAGAATTTTAAACTAGTTTTCAATTTTTTATTTGATTTCAATAACTGTTCTGTAGACTTTCTTTTGTATGCACAACTTACACAGTCTTGTTTAAGTTTTAAAGGTGAGGCTTGTTTTGGGGGGATTAGTGTTGTTATTAATTCAGGTGCTAACTTAGAGACAATCCCCTTTTCTTTAGGTACAGGCTCTTGAAATGGCATTTCCATAAAATTTATAATTTTATCCCATTGTGCTTGTGGCTTAAGAGATCTAAATTTAACACATAATCTGTTGATTTTATTATAAAGTTGATGACTGTTACTTGACGCTGGTATTATTTCTTCCAAAACTTGCACTGCCTTTTTAATTTGTTTTTTATTTTCATACCATACATGAATTATATGGCCTTGCTTTATGCCAGCTGCTGTCCGAAAGTCAGAATACTGATTAATTAGAATTGGTAAATCTTTGGCAGAATGCTTATCAGGGCTCCCAGAGCCTGTAGATTTACCACCTGCTGAAGTATTCATTTCCTCATCCATACTCTTGATCATATATCTAGAGGAAAAGAAATCAACATTAATACTACTGTAAAAGTAGAATTTATTGTTTTAATAGAGGCAAGTGTGTAGCATAATAAAGTAAGGGATAAGGAAATATATGCTTAAAAATAATTTCTTTTCTTGAGTGGTAATTTATTATTGGTTATTAGCTTGATGTGCAAAAAAAAAACCACTGGCTTTCTTCAACAGCCTTTAACATATTTATACATCTTTTATTTTTAAAAGGCAATCATTCATTTGCAATAAACTCTACGATTAAGGAACAAGTGAACATTTATAAAGGCGACGCCGGCCCCCACGCCCCTATAGGCTTTCCGGTCTCGCCATATTTTTTTATTATAAAATGGCGTTATTGTGGTGAATCAAACACCCTTTTTTCGGTCAAAATACCACTAGAAAACGTACCTCAAATTAGATGAAATCATTATTAACTTATAATATACATAATGTAATTTTTGAGAATACAAAGAGATAGCTTGATAAACTCACCTTTCTATCAAAAGTTGTCGTTGAAACACGCACAAAATTAGACCACGTTTCGCAATATTATAACTTGGAGAAGGAAGAGAGAAAAGTAATGCAGTTAGCAGTTTAAAATCACACATTATTTCATTAAATTGGTGAAAAGTTGGCCCGACTACGAAATTGAATCGATTACTTTAAAATCCCTATATTTTCTCACTATGTATTTCAATAAGGAAGATAATCGACGAAATTTTACAATAGCGAAATTCCCCGGTTGCCGTTCTTAAAGCAAGATGGCGGCGATGCCGACATCGCTACGTTTTTGTTATGAGTTTTGGTTGTCTTGATAATAAAATACGCTCAACTGGAGGTGAACGTGAAGCGGGGAAAAAAATACGCTAAAATGGAGTTTTAACCTTTATATTCTAGTACATACATTAATAGTCTAATATTTATCTTCTAATAAATACTGCTATTTAATTAAATTGTTTTCTTGAGAAGACTTACTGTCTACTGCTTGACGCCATTTTGGAAAAACAACATTCCAGATTTTTTGGCATTTGGATGTAGCCTAACCATAAATTTCTAGTTGCTAGATCGAGGCCTAACTTACATTACATTCAAATAGAGCTTGTGTTAAGCCAATTTTATATTTTCAAGCAGCAAAAATAATGAAATTTTAATTTTTAAATCTTTATACTTATTATAGTAAACAGATGCACTTCAATTGGTGCAGAGCACATTTTAAACTGAGTACTTGTTACATTATATTACAGAAGAGGAGTCAATTCTACAAATTTGTGAATCCGTTGATATTTCCTTTGCTTATTAAAAATATAATATTAGGCCTATATCAATGCTCTATTTCTAACTTTAAAACGCGAAATTTTATTATTATTATTTATTACATGAAACATGACTACAGTATGTAACAAAATGTTATTTTAACATATAGAGTCTAGTCTATTTACAAAAGCTTCACTACTTAAATGCTGTAAAATTTGAAGATTTGATGGTTTTTTTAAAAGTAGACTTAGGTTTGTTTTTGGGAAATTTTTATTACAATATCATTAACATTTAAAACATAACATTCCCAGGCATTGGCATTGTAAACTTTCATAATATTTGCTTACACTTTAATATTTAACTAAATGATAGTTTTTAGTCAGTATTAAAGCTTGTCACTATGAAGGTTTGTATACTTATTTTCTACCTTTCCAGTATTTAATGTAAAAAAAAAAAATTTGCTTTATACCCAAAAATACCTATTCAAAAGCACTCTACTTGAGTATTATCTGCTCTTTACTGACCTGTGGTAGAGATAGCCTATGTTTTGCCTTTAATATGGACACACAAAATTCAAAAATAAATATACATGAACTTGATGAACATAAATATATAATCAAACAGCTTTTGAATTATTGATCTTTATTGTTTTTCTCTTGTATATTAAAAACTCTACATATATTTTACATACATTTTTTATTTAAAAACCAGACACAGCATTGATTTTCTTGAAATTAGATTTTGGAATATTTTGAAAAAAATTAAGGCCTGCTGCTCTCTCTATCATTTCTAGTGGCATGAGATAGTTGTGTAATTTAACTTTAGGCAGAGGTTGATTAGGCATTACATAAGACTGGAGCTCTAGTTGACCAACTTCATTTTCAATCACAATTATCTGAAATTACAAAAATTACTTACAGAAAATCTAAAGCTGGCAGCATGTGTAATCCATAAAGAACGAAAACAAAATAAAACTTTCTAGACTAATTGCAGTATTTAATATGATGAAATAAATAAAATATATTCATGGCATACTTATTACAAATTACAATTTTTCAATTCAATTAAACTATGTACATAATACCTTAAAAAAGTGAGTTGGAACAGCAACATGATTTTCTCCAATAACTTCATATTTTACATATAATTTCCCATCTGGTTCTTTTCTGAAAAGAATTTTCTTTCTAAATTATTGTTTTGAAACATACAAGTATCAAATAATGTGCAAATTTTTTATACACCTGTAAACAGTAAATGTTTGTCTAAAATGGTTAAAATAAAAAGGTGATAGTAGCTCACCAAACTAAACTGATTTCAAAACCAAACTTTATGTACTCTGTAACACATTTTAATGTGTGTGGGGGGTGATTCTTGATGTCAGTGTGTTATTGCACTACTGCTAACCCAAAAGTCCCGAGTTTGCATATTGGGCTTGAGTCAGTAGGAAAACCAAAGACCACTCATGGGCACATGTTAGTGAACTAAAGCCAGCTGGGCATAGTGTAGACCACACTATCCCTTTATATGCAGAGGTCACAGAAAAGAGCTTTACTTAATCTGCCCTTAAGTCACCAGGTTTGAAAAGGTTACTACCTTTTTTCTGATTGTATACATTTCAGGAGAGTATTTGTAATTTCAGAACATAGTGAGTGATTCCAGAGAATTCCAGGAGTTTTTAAGCTTTTTTAAACTTCTTAAGTTTGTAGGTCCATGAACACAGGATATCATTAATTTTTTTTTTAATAATAATCATTAAAAAAGTTTTTAAAAACCCACGTTTTCTGATTGAACTAAAAAGTAGAAAATAAATACTATACATCACAATAATGCAAGCGATCACTCTACTATAAGCGATGAAAAACGTGGGGCGCAGAAGTAAAAGTTATATTACTATTGATTAGATAATACTATTGACTTTTATTAGGGAGCTTGTAGAGAGTCAACAGTATTAGAAACTGTAAGAAAATCACGGCGCCCCATGTTTTTCATCGCTTATAGTAGAGTGATCGCTTGCATTATTGTGATGTATAGTATTTATTTTCTACTTTTTAGTTCAATCAGAAAACGTGGGTTTTTTAAAACTTTTTTAATGATTATTATTTTCTACTTTTTAGTCTTTGTCTGTTTGTTTGCATTGAAATCTTGCTATCGATTTTATCTTTTCACTTTTTTTTGGGTAAACGAAGACAACTCGTAAAAAGACAACTCGTAAAAAACGAGAGACCCTTTCTTCTTCGGTCTCAATCGCAAGTGAATGATTGTCAGAGGTTACTTGATAGCGGTTAGGACGAGGGCTGGTTACTGACTAGAACACATAGATTTGAACCCGTGTCGAGTGGGATAGCAATCGTGTGCCCAACCACTCGACCATATCGTCTCCCCCAAACTGGCCACCAGTGGTAATAGTTACCTCCTGTAAGTTTAAAGTCGGTTCAAACTAAATTATCTGCCCCTAAGCCTGTCGCGACGTGGGATCGTTTCGCGTCACTGCGCGCGGCAAGAGAGGGGCGAGCTACGCGTCGCTCGTTTTTTTTCTAATGGCTCGCAGAGGAGAATTATATATATAGATTATATAGCGGTCTAAAATGCTCAATAAAATGTTTCCATTGATCAATTTAGTAATAATAACAATTGAATATTCTATGGTCATCCAAAAGAAAGCTTCCCTGAAAATTTCAGCGCGCTAGCTAACTGGGAAGTGCCAGAAATTTCGATCGCAAGATTTGATTGGAAAAACAAACAGAGAAAGCAAGTTAAAGAAAACGTGGGAAAATCAGTATTTATAATACCAAAATATACCATAGAGTGGGGTGGTGGCTTTGGGAAATGTTAAAAAAGTTATATGGTGTAGGGTTAGAATCTCACGTGTATAATTTCTTACTTACCGGGGCAAGTATAAAGGACCAGTACAGACATAAACATTCCTGCTGCGACGAGCTAAAGCACGAACATATTTTTCCAATGTATTCCAAGCATCTCTGTTAAACCCTTCCCCTACCTTAAAATGGCAAAGTGAATGTATATAGGTATGTATTACAAGAATTCATTTTATGAAACATATAAAAACCTTTACAATAAGCTTTTAATTTACACTGAAAACAAAAAGGAAAATAAAACAAAATTGCTTTCTTTAAATAAACAGGTGCTAGATAAGTTACTTAGTCTGGTGGTGACCAAAATGATATTTATTTTTAAAAGGAATACACACAATAATTTCTGAAAAATGTTGCTTACCTGGGGAGCAATATTAGATAATAAAAAAGTTTGACTCATAGCAGTTGTTGAGTTACGATGGTTAGCAGCAGCAGCTAAATGTCCTCTATCATACCCACTTCCTATATAATCTTTATTTGTAGCACGATGGTAGCCATGGACTGACTGATCCTCCATAAACTTCATTTTAGACCTTTTTAATAAATAAAAAACCCATTGTATTTTTTTTTAATATATAAATAAAAACCATTATTATTTGCCTCCTTAGTTTATCATTAATATTATCAGTGTCGCTTTCATTAAATGGAACATGATTATATTATGTGGGCCTACCCATTACTATTTCTAGAAAAAAATTTTTACAAGCTATTATTAAACTTGCTTCCTCAGTCTGTCTTAATCACAGATTGAAACATGAGAGCATAACTTCTGACACTTCTAACCGATTAGTTTTTCTGAAATTAGTCATGTGGGTAAAGAACTGATGACATTGCAAATTTGACATTAAATTTGACTTAATTTGTGTTACCAATCCTATACTCTTAGACGTGTGACCTTGTTTTCTAAAACTGAGCTTTTTGAATGTTAACAAAACGTGCTCTATATTTCTTGGATCATATTTTAAGGGCACAGGTTTACCTAAAATACCGCCCAGCACACCCCCCAGTGGGTGGTGTATGAAAGATTTGAGTGTACATGAATCACTCTCTGTAATTTGTGAGGTAGAACACACTTCACCACCGCCCAGATGTCAGGGACATAGCATAGTGCTCTCGGTTTAATCATCGAATGTCGTGTGCCGCAGTGTCAATATTGTAGGGTGCTCCTTAATACTGACGTAGGCGCCATAGTTCTTATAGGATAGACCGGGGCTATAATAATAAGACATCTTATCGCACTGTTAAAATGAACGTAGACGCCACTTTTTTAAAATATACAGTAAATAGAGAAAAAAAAAATCGCACCATCCCAGGGCACTGCCCTTGTGAAATTAAAAAGGATTTTTTAGCAGAAACCTCCCCTGAAGTGTTCTCATAAACTCCCCAAAGTTTGATGCCGATCAGATGAATGGTGTCAAACTGCAATCGACTTTAATTTTATATACTGTATATAAAGAAGAATCTAATTGCGCCCTTCCATCCCTGAAAAACTTGAAATTTTTTTTCCGCAGAAACCTACCCAACAGCTTTTCAAAGTTTCATGCTGATCGGATGAAAGGTGTAGTAATGCATAAAAGACAGACAGACAGACAAACAGATAGACATACATTGCTTTTTACATATAAAGAGATCAAAATTTTCTGAAAATAGTGGGTAATACTAAACTACTATTCTGCACAATTATACGTGCGTTATCATGTTCATTTGGTGCACTATTGTTTTTATTCATGCAACTCTTTTGTTACATTGTCAGCCTTATTAAAAATTTTAAAGTAATGAATTAAAAATTGCATAAAAAAACAGTTGATTCTTGTTAAAGTCTTAGAATTCTAGATCTAGAATAGTCCTGCAGAAGTTATTATTTATTATATATTATGTGATTATAGTCTACTAATACTAATACACTAGATCTAGTATTTGTAGTCCTACACACAATCAACTACAATTACAATGTAGTGTAGAAAAAGAAAAGTAGGCAGATTCTAGCCAGAAAAAGATATGCATGCACATTGGAGAGAAACTACTGCCTTCCTTGGTGGTGATGTTTTTGATGGTTCTGTGCATGCGTGTTTACAAACAAACCGCAGAACCCTAACTAGCACAGCTTTTAAGGCCACTGTGCATGCTCAGAACTACTGAGTTTCATATCTTCTGCCGACCAGATGGAGACGCTGGGGCGAAAAATCTTTTTCTGAGTAGTCACTTCAAAAAAAGTATTCTAGCTACTAGAATCTAGATCTATTATCTAGGTTAGGGTGTCGCCTAACATTTTAAACTTCATTATTGCTCATGATGACTTAAAAAAATTAAAAACTACATTTATTTACCTTTAATTCAGTGAAAAAAAAGCGTTTGTTTTATATGGCTACGATGATAAGACTGATTTTCAGTGATACGGTGGGTTAATTTTTTAAGTAGTATTTTTGTGATGCGATTGACCGTTCACTGCCGTTCAGCAGAAATGTGTCGTCTGCTACATTTCTCCCCATTCAAATACACAGCTGGCAAAATGGGCGGGCATAGTTTGCTGTTGTCTCGATCAAGTTATGTTTTATAGGTTTTGTTTTTACCCTGCATGATTTTTAAAACATTAATGACATTAGTTTAGTACAGGGGTCTCCAAACTACGGCCCGCGGGCCGGATGCGGCCCGCGAGGTCTTCTCATCCGGCCCGCGGAGATTATTTTATCCACGGAAATATAATGATTGTTGGAGGTGACTGAGGGACTATGCCCCGTAAATTCAAAACAATTTCAAAATAAAGTTTTGTGTGCAAACACCGTTGCCCGCCATGTTGTAGAAATTGGTGAAAACAGTGTGACTCAATTAGCAAAAAATACAAGCAAGTTTCGCCATTTTTCAATTGCAATGGATGAGTCTCAACTGCTTGTGTTCATTAGAGGCGTGGAAGAAGACAGGAACATAATACAACAGCTTGCTTCCCTATAAAACATTTATTGCACTGTTACCGGAGAGGACATCTTCAATTAGTAAAAAAAAAAAAAAAATTGCTGATTATAACTTGGACTGGACTAACCTCAGTTACCTAAGAATTGATGGAGGAAAGTACATTAGTGGCATAAAGAAAGGTTTGGTGGACAAGCAAATAAGAAAAACATTTTACAAATTAAATTTGTATATATTTTTATAGAAATTATAATTCATTGGGGGGGGGGGGGGGTAGACGTTCTTCGGGGAAGGTGTGTGTGTGTGTGGGGTGGGGGGGGTCAGCCACCCCAAAGAGATGCCTGAAAGAAACTGGCCCCCGAACTGAGATTTGGTAGTTAATGCGGCCCTCGGGCTGAAAAGTTTGGAGACCCCTGGTTTAGTAGAAAGCAAGTTATAATTTTCTATAGTTTATCATATTTTTGAGTAAGTTCACAACAGCTCTAACTAAATTAAGCAATTCACGTTTTCTTACTTTTATTATGTTCTGCTTGATATTCTAAGCCATTAGACCAATAAAATGTTAAATGTACAAATGGCAAGTTAGCTTCAAACACTAATTGTCCATTGTTAAAACTAGACCGGTAACGACAGTATCGTCTAATAATATGGCAAAATAACAATTTTAAGTAGAGAGTCTATATATTTCTGAAATTACCATGAAACATTGTTACAAAAGGGAATCACATTATTTAAAATATTTTTGTTTTCGGCAGCCATCATTACCATGACGACAGTAAAAAAAATTAGGTCAAGAGACAACCTAATCTACGGATTACTACTTTCTAGTAGTAGACTAGAAATTTTGTAGTAAATCTAGATCTTAGGTAGATCTAGTAGATCTAGAATCTATCTAGATCTAGAAGACTAGTAGTATTGAGTAGTTGTGGCGTTAGTGATTAATTTAATGGTAACATTGTAAGGACCATTGGCCTAGATTATTATAGATCGGTAATCTATCGTTTTGGGTACGTAAAATCGCCCGCGACTTGTAATGTGAAAAACAGGTGACACCTTACATTTTAATAATTATTTCACATTTTGAGGAGGATTTATGTATTAAAAAATTCAAAAATGTTTCCTTGATTCATTTATGTACCTGTTTTTAAACAATTGAATTAAAACTTTTCAGTAATAAATGAACACCAGCGATGCAACAGATGCAACCATGCTCATTTACTATAGCAGCCATCTTGTTCAAGTTTTATTTTTATAGACTTATAGCGCAAGATTCAGGCGGAAGTCACTCTATTTTACAAATGGCCGCTGTTTATATAGCAAATCTTGCTTGCAGACACTGCTGTTTAAAGTTAATTTCTGGCCTATATTGATATATTTAGCCATTGATTTAGGTTTATTATTCATTTATCTATAATATTTGACACAAACATATCACAATATACTTCTATTACAGCCTTGACATTGAGGTAACGTTTTCGTACATTAATAGCCACGGGCGATTTTACGTACCCAAAACGATAGATTACCTATAGATCTAATCTAGATCTAGACTCAGACCTACCTCTCGATTCCTTCTACTGGGTTAACTTTTTCAGGTGTTAAATGCTCCAAAACCCAGTTTGCTGTTCGATTTCTTCGATCATATGAAAGAATAAAATCTTCATAAGATCTTAAGTTGTCAGTACTTGGAAAACCATACTTAACTGTTTCGCTAATCTTGTTTGGTCTGCTAGAAACAGCAGGGTTCGTAATAAACTTGTTGTTTTCATGAGGATTCGTAGAGGTGATGGACAATGATGAAATATTATCGTCGGGAATATTGGAACTTTTGGCGTTAACTACATTATAAGGTGATAAAGACTTTTTGCCACAATAATACCCTACACCTATACCTGCTGAACACGCAGCAACAACAACGCATGTTTTTGAACGAACAAAAAAAGACATTATTGATATTAGATCTAATCTAAATCTAGAATCTAGATCTATCCTATGTAAGTATGTAGATCTAGATCTAGTATGTTTGACTCTTGACTAGTCTAGATCTAGACTCCAGCAGTTATCGGTCACTGCGAATAACTGGAATACAATCAATATTAAGTGTTTACTTTTAGATTTTAGGGTGTTAGGCTATCACTAGACAGAAATCTAGTAGGACAGGGCAGAGGCGTAGCGAGGGGGGGCGGGGGTCCGGACCGCACCGGGTGACACCATTTTAGGGGGTGACACCAAGGCAAAAAAGAGCAAAATATATAGAGAAAAACTTGAGGTGTGCAAATCGAAAGTTCGAGGGGGGGGGGGTGCAAATCTAAAATTTGAGGGGGGGGGGGGGTGCAAATCGAAAGTTCGAGGGTGGGGTGCAAATCGAAAGTTTGTAAGTTTGTCCCCGGGAAGGGTCGCTACGCCTCTGGGGGGTGACACCATTAAGTGCCGCACCGGGTGACACCCGACCTCGCTACGCCACTGGGACAGGGCCTACTAGAGTACTAGACTAGAGTAGATCACGCTAGATCTAGATTCAACTAGACTAGACTCCGGAGTAGGCCTAGATTATATCTAGGTATAAACAGTGTTTCTTCCAGACTTTTTTCTCAGGGGGGGGGGGGGGGCAGACACTGTTAAAAATCTATATTTTCTATATAAATTCCATTTCGATCGGGGGGGGGGGGAGGGGGGCAGACTTTCTTGGGGGGGGGGGGGGTCCGAAGAGATGCCTGGAAGAAACTCTGTATCTAAAGCTAAACTGTGACATCACACAACCTGAAGCCCCTCCTCCTCATCACACATTGTCGTAAAATTACGACATAATGTTATCCTTTTGTTGCTAAATTCCTTGGGGTTGTGGTAAAAACAATATTGTCACAGGGTAGAGCAAGGGTCGCGGACTAAACCGGGCAACACCAAAATATATTTTTTTTAAATTCCAATTTTATAGATAAAATTGTATATATAATCTTTTCCTTTTTGTGCCCAAGACACATGGGCCGCCACAGAAAGTTCCCTCCACTTTTGACGGTCTCCGGCAATTTTCCTGGCAGTCCCCCACCTTGCTGCTTCCCACCGTGCGCCTGCACGTCTCCATTGGCCTTATAATATATATATATATATATATATATATATATATATATATATATATATATATATATATATATATATATATATATATATATATATAAATTTTGGTTCTCTCGTCCGCATTAACAAAATCTGTGAATCATGGGCTGGGTATGTGTCTTGACCTCCGCCAAACCCATGAGACTGACTACCCAGTCAGCACACATATATTGGCCCAATATTGGCTAAACATTGGTTACCAATATTGGCTACATCTTGGTGCAACATTGGGTTAACCTTGGCCAAACATTGGTAGTGAAACTCGGCATTATGTTGGCGCAATGTTGGCACAATATTGGCTATATCCCGGCTACATATTGGCCCAACATATTGGCTAGATCTTGGCCAAATATTGGCTATATCCCGGCTACATATTGGCCCAATATTGGCTACATCTTGGCCCAATATTGGCTATATCATGGTTACATCTTGGCCCAATATTGGCTACATCTTGGTTCAATAATGGCTATATCTTGGCCCAATATTGGCTATACCTTGGCTCATCCTGTATTATATCCTGACTACATCTTGGCCCAATAATGGCTATATCTCTGCTATACCTCGGCTCAGCCTGTATTATATCCTGGCTACATCTTTGCTCAAATTTTGATTTTCAGCACACACGAATATCCATTCTCATATCAGTCATAATATTTAGTCAGTGACGCCATTTAGGGGTTGACACAGTGGCGAAAAAATCGCAAAATATATAGAAGAAAAGTTTTTGCCAGTTCAATCCACCTGTATTAATAACTGACTGACTATCGATAACCATCTTTACTATTGACTGTGCACACGTTAAAACTATCACCCGGGAGGGGGGGGGGGGGTGACACCATCTGCAAAATTTAGGAAGGAATACAGGCTTTTTGAGCATTTTGAATAACATATAAGTCACTCAACGGCAGTAGAGGGGTGACACCAAAGTTTTGTGAATTACCTTTTCCACATGGATTAATAGGTGGACTTTGCGTACAAATCAATGTCATTAGGCAAAATGGGAAGGGGATGTCACCAACTGCAACTATATATGTATGCCTATGTATACATATATATATATATATATATATATATATATATATATATATATATATATATATATATATATATATATATATATATATATATATATATATATATATCACATAGGGTTTTTTCGGAGGGGGGGGGGGTGGGGTGACACCATGAGGTCCCACACCGGGTGACAGCCGACCTTGCGACGCCTCTGCTACTAGTAGTGTGCAATGACATGACTATGATATTTACTGCTTCTATATAATTGCATCCTTTGTAGACGTGAATGCTTAGGTAGAGAAAGGCGTGGAGGGGCGGCTGTATTGTTGTGTTTTCCTGCTGACTTATTTTTAAGGTGAAATATTTTCGTAAACCGGACGTATGATCGTTCACAGTGTTTCTTTCAGACTTTTTTCTCCGGGTGTGCACTTGATATATTGGGGGGCGGGCGGACAAAATTTTCCCGGGGGGAGCGGACACTGGTAAAGTATATATTTAGACTTTCTTCGAGGGGGGGGCGTAACGAAGAGATGGAAACTCTGATCGGTCCTACAGCCTATTAATCTACTCCTTAATAGTTAATATTATAATCGATTTCGCTACCATCGGACCTTGATGAAAACTACTAAGACAAACCTTATTGCGTGATTCCTTTTAACTTTTGAAACAGTAGGTCTAAAAACACAGGGAACATTTTTTACCGCACACCGACTATTAACTGCTAGAGTCTATGCCTAAGTTAAAACTTTGCCAGTGAAGAGTCATAACAAGTTTTAGTTGCCCGTTGACTTTGCATCTCAGTCAACGATGGAGAGTGTTTTTTGCCATCAAAAAAACTTATAGATCTACTATATTTTGACCTAGTCAATACCTCTATTATCTATACTCTATAGACAGCCAAAATGTCGATTAGGCCCATTTATTAAATATTTTTTAAATTTTATATAGAAATCTAGATCTACCCTGCCTAGATCCTTCTACTTCTAGATTCTAGATCCTGATCTAGAATTAGAATCTAGCCAGATCTGTCAAATAAATTACAATTAGTAATTAAACTTCACTTTCACTAGTGTAGTAGTGTACACAGTACTGAGTACACTCATTACACTCAACTGTGTAACTCTACAATTTACACACTAAGTATCACACTATTAAAATAAATGTAAGTTAAAATTTTAAGATTTTTATTTTTAAACTTTGTTTTAGTTTTAGACTTTTAGAGTTTAGTTTACTTCTGCCTCTGGTCTATCTCGCTAAATCTAAACGTAGGCCTACTCAATAAAATTGTACCAAAAAAAATTGGGGGAAAGAAAAAACAACCAGAAATCTCGCTACATCCAAAAGAAATCAAAAGAATCATAAAAAACAAACAAACACAAATGTGGTCTGACACACACCCTCACTTAAAAAAAGACGATGGATATTACATTATGACACTAAAACAACAACACATAACCTTTAGACTCAGAACAGGCCACAACAGACTAAAACAGCACATGCATAAAAAACTAAAAGTTGGGTGTGGCAAAATATGCCCTTGTGGCAAGGCCCCGGAGAATACGGAACACGCCCTTCAAGAATGTTCATTATCTATAATATAATTAAAAAAATTTAGTCCTTCCTTCCGTCATCGCTATAGCTTTTGGAATCATAAAAGTAAACATTCGCACCATGCTGTGCTTTTCAGTGCACCGCAGTGTCTTATTATAAGTATTAGAGTAGGGTTTGTTTATATAGCGGCATAGAGCTATTTTATAATTGCCACGGTTTTTACTCTTTCGCATAACGTCAAGAAAATATTAAATACACGCAAACTGCTAAAACGTATTAAAAAGATTAATGTCAAATATCATTTTCGTTTAGGCTCCAAGAAAAAGTGGATACATTTTAATAACATAATAACAGCAGGGTAGAAAAATCAAATTAACTTAACTCTTTTCTAATTTTGACAAAGGAGGTAATTTAAAAATACATTAAACTCACGCTAATAAAAAATGTGAATGCAAATATACGTTCGTCATAGAAGGAATTAGTGTTGCAATAATATAATTAGCAAAATGTGAATGCAAATTATTCGGATGTGTAAGAGGAAATTATTGTTAGAAAATTATAATTAGCATGGATTGATAAAAGGCAATCTTTTATTTATTTTATTCACTGAATGTAGGCCCTACTATTTATTACTTATAATTTTTAATCAACTATTCAGCACTATTATAGGCGCGTCATCACGTTCATTAGGTGCGCAATGGTTTTAGTTATGAAACTCTATTGTAAATTTTTAAAATTTAAAGTGCTGGAAATAAATTGCGTGAATGGATAAAGTGAAATATTGTATATATTATAGATACTGCCTATTATTTATACTGTTTTCTAATTATTATTCTATCTTTCGGGTTTTATAGGAGAGGCGTAGCGAGGGGGGGGGGGGCATATGTCCCCGGGTGCCGACCTTAGGGGGCGCCAAAGTGGGTTGGAAAAAATTTGCGAGGGGGGTGGTGGTGGAAATCGAAAGTTTTAGGGCGGGGGGGGGGGGGGGGGGAAGGGGTGCAAATCGAAAGTTTGAGGGGGGTGCAAATCACCGGAAAGGGCGCGATTTGGCGCTACGGGCTAGACTGTGAGCAATATGCCTTTATGATTGCATTTAAATTGTGTTTATGTTATGAGTGTTGTGTTTGTTTGTTCGTTTTTTTTTTTTTTTTTTTTTTTTGCGTTCGTTTGTGTTGTGTTTAGTTTTGTTCTGTTGGTACATTTAAAAAAGATTTACCGTTGCGGAGCACGGGATGCAGCTAGTATATATATAGCCAGGCATGATCCAAACACTAGCCCCTACACACCCCACTCAAAGAAAAACTATATGGGGCACCTGCTGATCTGGAGACCACAGTCCAGTTCATACACGAAGTTGGGCTTGTTGTATAAATCCTCCATGATATACTGAATTAAGAACGAAGAGGAAGAAGTCCATTTGAACATGATAACTAAATAATAAACTTCCATATTTAATCCATTAGGCACTAGTTTTAGGGTTTTAGCTCATTTTAGACTAAATTACTTAATTAAAATTTTAGGCCTATTGTTTATAAAATTTAATAGGCCTCGGCCTATTTATTAAATTATTTAGGGTCTATTATAAGTTAGGCTATAAACTTAAGTTTCACTTTTTTGGCTGTACAGGAACTACGTGATCAATATTCTGAAAACCCAGTGTATAGTAATTTGTCCAAAAAAATCTGCCGATAATTTTTAAATAAAATTGTTTTTTTAAGCCACATGACATACTTCTACCATTTGGGTTTACATTTGCTGTGATAAAATGTTAATAAAGAAATTGTTTTTGGCTTTTTAAAATTTTTATTTTGTTTAGTTAACGAAATTACTGAAAACACCACATACATTCAAGCTTTAGTAAATTCCAACAAAAATCAGTGAGATTTTTTTAACCATTTGGGCCTTTCTAACAGTTTCAAGACTTTTCTCAGTTGTGTCAATTCAATTAATGAATGTGGCTTTGATATGGGCATTATTTATGGCATTTTCTACAAAATGTAACAGATAGTCAAATAATCACAATTTAGTGACAAACCAATTGAAAATATTCTGGAATGAACTTTAAATACAGTGTTTGAGACAACTATGAGTAAACACAAGCAGCAGCCATCTTTCAAAAACAATATTACTATTAGAGTAGTTTCCCTTGAGAATTTCTGTTTGCATTTTTGTTGTGTTGCTTTTATTGTTAAATAATGTTGTCTTTTTAAGTTTGGGTGAATGTGTGAGGGCCCTGCTTTTAAAATAAATGAATCATGCTAGTTTTCGTTAAAAGTTGTGATGTAGTAGAACTTTTCGATGTCATTTAAGGCAGGGGTCAGGCTTTTTGTGAATATTGGGAGAGAGTGAGGGGGGGGGAGCTGTGAAAGTATTACTGATATCATTTATGAACTATCCCTTTTGATCTATTAATCTACTGCTGATATGCTACAGGCATTTGGTCTCAGGCCTGTTATGCGGGAACCATGTGTTGGGGCAATGTTTTATCACATTTTTCAAGATAGCAGGTTTGCAGTAGTGATTGTTGGTTTTCAACAAGTTATACTTATACATAAACACTAACAATTAACTGAACATTGTTTTGTACAGACAGGTTTTCCATCAATGTCATCATGCATCTTATGCTATACACTGTCAATAAGTGCATAAATTGCCCCCCCCCCCCCCTCCAATGTATGTCACAAACACTCATCCGCTCCTGTAGCATATAGTTGGTGACATCATATCACAAATTATGATTAATCTCTGATATTTTGATAAAAATGGATATGTATATGTCTGATGGGTGGAGACATACCAACTATAAATAGTATAAAGGACATGCACCAAAGGGATGGGGATGATTTATCTTTGAGACAATGTTTTACATGGGGAGGGGGGTAGGAAAAGATTTGACATGGTTTGAATGTTGTCACTCTAAATATAAAAATAATGAAAAACATTCTGAATGTAATAGATAATTGACTAATAAATCACAATGTTGTAACTTTTAAAACATAACTCCTTGTAAAATTGCAAAATAACTAAGCTACTAAAATTTAATTAGTCAGCTTTCTTTCACATTGCTAACTTTGGCTGATTTTACAGTTTTAAAATGATTACTAATTACTCATCTAGAATTTAGTTTATTGATTAACCTTTAACCCTAATCCTAGAGGTGTATAAGAAGTTTTTATGTTAGGTTAAATATTTAAATATCTGGACATAAGAAATAGGTCACAAGTGGCAGGGCTTAACTTTTCACCTGTGCACTTTTTGCTGCAGTGGTTCATCTTATCTGGACAAGATCCTAGGGTGTAAATTTGTAAGGATGTAGGCTTGTATAATTCTAGCCTTGGGCCTAATTGAAGAAGCCTAATATTTTTTCTATTTTAACATTGCTTTATATAGGTTAGGTTTGCCTGTCGTCCCTACTGGGACATAGGCCGCTGTCAAGAGCTTTCCAGACATCTCTGTCCAGGGCTAGTCTCTCCAACTGTCCCCAGGTGTATCCAATCTTCTTGGTGTCTTCTTCCAGGTCACGTCTCCAGGTCTTTCTTGGTCTGCCTCTCCTCCTCCTGCCTTGTGGATTCCAGGTGAGGGCCTGTCTTGTTATGCTGGATACAGGCTTCCTGAGTGTGTGGCCAATCCATTTCCATTTTCTCTGGAGGATCTCTACTTCAACTGGCAGTTGATTTGTCCGTTGCCATAGATCATCATTTCTGATGGCTTTAGGCCAGCAAACTCGCAGGATCTTTCTGAGGCATGCGTTTATAAATGATTGTATTTTCTTCTTATTTATAGCAGTTATTCTCCATGTCTCAGCTCCATAGAGTAAAACAGGTTTTACTTTGCTTTATATATTAGGCCTATAAAATCTAGATCTATATAATACATCGTGGGGAACAAGGGGTTCTAAAGTGAACATTTGATTAAAAAAAAAAGTTAAGTTCCCTTTTCAAACCTAATGGTCCATGGGGCAAGTGAAGTAGAGTTTACCTGTTACTGTGACTTTGCCATATGAATGGATAGTGTGGTCAACACTATGCCCAGCCACTTTTACTTTCCCTAAAAGTGTTAGGTACCTGTCAGAGCTGGGAGAACTCAGGGCTGTTCTAATACATAAATCTGAATTCTAACTTGAGACTTTTGGGTTAGTAGTTTAGTGCGCTACTGCTAGGTCACATTGTCCCAATTTGATAAATATATGTGCAATTTTAAAAATTAAAATGATAATTTACAGAAGCAAATTTATTATGAAACCAGATTATATAAATTTTCAAAAAATTTGAACAGCTTTTTCAGTTTAGTTGGTATGGTATTTTTTTTTTATAAGCAGGATTTTTCTAAATGGCTAATCATATAAAAGGAACAAGTTGGCTGATAGGAAAATGTCTTATTACCTGCAGCTGGTTGATTGAGCACAGAGGGTCGTGTACAGTTTTATTTAACTGCTCCAATGGCGCTCTCTGAGCACTATGGCACTTACATTAGTGGGCCACTACATTCGATAACTAAACCAACCCAGGGGTTGCAACAGATAGCCACACATGGTCCTACCATAGGCCTTAGGGTGTCTGGTCGGTAGGGTGGACAAACCAGCGCTTCAACATAAGATCCAAGAAATTACCAACAGTTTACTTATTGAAACACTTTTTATATTAGGTCTATGCTTTTTGTCATATTTTAGGGAGCACTCAATGAGACTAGTAGAACAACATTGCGCAAAATATTTGGAAATGTTTGGAGAATGCATTCATCGCTTTCCCCATACATGGCAAATGGACTGTGAACTTGAAAGAAGAAAACTTGCCAGATGCGCAGAGATTAAGTAAGTTGACATACATAATATAATAGTATAATTAGCCTAGTAGGTTGTCTATGATGCTATTCATATACAGGTTTCATGAGATATGATAGAAACATAAGCAAAAATGTATATTTTTATGGTTAAGTTTTCCATGTTTCCTATGATATGAAAAGAATTCTTGAAATGTTGATTTACTAACATTAATTTTACCAGATTTAGAGGATTTAACAAAATTACAGTTTCTTTCTTCGTCAAAAAGATGGCCAAGTTTTAATTTTTATATTTGTTTTTCCCCCCACCTTTTTAGTGATTTTTAATATATGAAGTCGATACGACTAAAAATATTTGCTTTAGAACACCATCCATAACTTGCAATATCTAAAAGACAATTATCTGCCCTGGAAAAGCTAGTTATCTCTCCTTCTGCTATTGAATAGTCTATTGCGTCAATTAACTTTGTTGTCTCCCCTTAGTTGCAAAACAGTTAAAATTAATTTTTAATGACTAATTAAACATTTAATTATATAAAAAATTAGAGTTGTTAAAGTTGCATTGTCATCGAAGTGGACCGTAACTGAAAAGTTTGAACGGAATCACTTATACAAACCCACAAACAGACATTGCCAACTAAATAAGAAATTTCCCTCTTTTTTGTGTTAAATTAAACATTTGATTAAATAGATGTCAGTGACACAGATACCAGATTAAAGTCTGTAGATCAGTCATAGCCTAGATTAGAATATGACTGGACTAATGCTAAATTATAAACAATTTATAAGGGCATTTTAGGGTGAGTTTTTCGTATTGACAGCTGATGGCATGGTTCCAGAGTAATTGCTGTTTTATTTGCTTGGTAGAATGTGTGTACAATGCAATCAGTACTGAATGACTTAAAAGACAAGACTCAGTAGATAGTAAGGGCATAAAATACAAAAAAAGTATTTAGTGTTGTGTTTAACTATTCATCTCCTGTCTTATTGGAGTGCAGGGAATTGAGTCTGTAGCAGCCATCCTCACTGAAGATAGTTTAAAGATAAAGATTCCTAGAGATCCCCATTACAATGTCCATGATCCCACTCAGCTCAGTTGGATGCACATCCTACGTAAGGGAAATGAAAGCGCCCTAGATAGAATAGAACTCATAACACTAGATCTTATACACAGAGAACACAGACACAGAATAAATCTACTTCATCTGTCCTTGATCCTTCATGTCTGAAACTTAATAACTGTAAAAGTACCACTAGAAATTCTAGTAAAAAGAAAATTATATCTTACTACTGGAAGTTGGTTATTTTGTGACTCAATTGTAAAAATTGTACTTATTTTGCAGTTCTTGACATATATTTTTAGTCTATGATTAAAATGATTTCTATGATTTAAAAATATTTTATTTAACATGGATTGATCAAATAGTATTTTTTTAATACCCTCACTTAGAATAGAACGGCCTTTTGGGGGTTTTACCTGAAAGGAGTACTGTATTTCTGTTGTAATGATGGGTCTACGACCTCACAAAGTTTCAGGGTTTTTTAAAATTATAAGGTTCATGCAAAGAGAATCTCTCTGTTCAGCCTAGATGATTATTTCCAGACTCCCCTGGGCTATGACCTTACAGTTTCATAGGGTATTAGATAAGGCCAATCAGCATTTCTCCCCCCCCCCCCCCCCCCCCCATGTAAAACCCTGCCAAATTATAATATACCTTTCTGAACATTTGTTTGGCCTGTTTATTCTGGTTCTCCACATAATCTGAAACTTATTTGTAGCATGAACACAAGTTGTTTAGTTGTAATAAAGTAATGGTAGTATATTATAATATTTACATTTTTTTTTCTCTAGTCCAGAGATACTTCATATAAAATCAGTGTGTGCCAATCAATTCCATCTGTATGAGAAATGTATGGGAGAATCCCAGTCTGATCCAGACAAATGTACAGAGTCCTTCAGAATTTTCTCTACCTGTGCTGAGGAAGCTTTAAAAACATTCAAAGATCCAGGTAAGCCATGTAGATAAATCTCAGCTGCTATTTTCTACAAGGTTTCTATTTATGACTACCTGGGGGAAAAAACGCTGGTGTACAACTGTTATTTTTTTTTAAACTACCAGATTAAGAGTAATACTACTTTAACATAGTTAAAAAAGTAAAATGTAAAGATTCCTCTTGAGACCTAGTGATCCACTGGGCAGATGAAGTTTCTTGACCTCAGCATATTAAGGGAAGGTGTGGTCAGCAATTTGCACAGCCACATTTACCTAACCTTTTTAAAAAAAAATATGACTAACTGTCACTATATTTTTGTATTTCATTTTTGGTATTGTACATGCAGTTGTACAAAATGTACAATAGACCTGAGATACAGCATTAAATTATTGAATCTGGTTAGGGTGTATATTTTATGTAAAAAAAAAAATTGTAGGTAGCAACACAATTTAATTGATTATTTTTTTTTTTTTTGAAAATTTAGCATCAAGTTTAGTATCATCAGCAGATGGTATAAAATCTGAAGTAGAGGATGAAGCTAAGCAATGATGACCTCCACTTAATAGTAATTGATTATGTAAAGCATTTTTAACTATGTATTGTTCACATTGAGCAAACTTTAAAGGTAACATTTAATAGTTATATTAAGTGAAATAAATTTTTTAACATAACACACCTATTGTTATTTTCAAGTGCTGTAAGATATAGCAACAGTACTGTTTTACTTTAACCCTAGAAGTGTTGTTTTATGGAAAAATGTGTTTCTACTGCACTTTAACAGTTCTAAGCTATTGGGTACACATTTTGCACTTTTCAAGCACTTGCAAAAAGATTTTTTTAAAAATAATCTAAAATAATTTAAACTTATACCAACTGCCTTGACAAAGATGCTCTTCTTAGATAATTTCTACAGCTAACAGTACAGTAGACATTATGAAACATCTTTCACTTAGCTTTACGAACACAAATGAGATCAGTACAAAGCTTACTTAATTTCTTTTATTACAATAATCATTAATGTCTTTGGTAAAATGACAATATACTATTTCTGACAATCTTTACCTGTGGGTGCAGAATTGAAAAATGTTTGGCAATATGACACAGCAACTAAATTTCTCTGACTTAACTCATTATTTTACATCAAATTTAGTAGTTTTGTCATTTCTAAACATTTAAATTTAAAACTAGTAATTATATCATTGAAAGTTATGTTAAATTGTAACATAATTGAATGAAAGTTCATATGCACAAGAAACATGTTTAAAGCTTTTACCATACTTGTACAAATTGATCTAAGATAGAAGTGTATATAAAATGTTGTATGCAGTTTGTTCTAAGGGCGTCAGAAGCACATTTCAAAATTACTAGGGCTAGGAAAACCTTTAAATGTTTAAAAATACAAAAGACATTTAAACTTAAAAGCCACAACCGAATTCAAAAATGTAAATGATAGAAAATGGTATATAGACTTATATATATATTTAATAAACCACCTTTTAAAATAATAGGGGACTCTAGGATTCTTACTAGTAACCCTGAGCTAGCATTCATCCTTTAAAAAATTGTTGTAAAAAATAAAAATTTGTTTTAAATACAAGTTCTGACTTTAATATTTAGGATAGATACAGATGACAAAATCAGGAGATCTCAAAAACACACAGTACAAGATGAGTATTTTCTTGATTGTTTTTCAGTGCTATTTGTATCTTATATACATTAGAATACACCCACAGTAAACTCAATCAAAGAATATCATACAGAACAGATAAATGACAATATGATAATATGGACTAATGTAACAAAAAAAAAAGTACTCAGATCTACATTAATTTTCTTATAATGGATTTTCAAAAATATTTTGAATTTAACCCATTTATAGACAAAATTTAACTTAGCCCAGATCAAGCAACCATGAAAAACAAATGTATTTGAAGTTTACTTAGTAAAAAAAAATATCAATTACTTTACGTAAGCTATAAACATTTTAGAAAAAATTGAATTAAGGTATTGTAATTTGGACTTCAATTGATTATCTCAAACTGCATATTTAATGGACAATTTTCACTGTTTAAAGACTAAATAGATTTCTAAGGAATTGTGGTTACTGATTATTAAAAACAAATATAAATTTAAAAAAATAACAGTGCAGTATTAATGAAGTTCCGTCATGTATATGCTGCATCTCACTGAAAAATAAAATATACATTACTTTATAGTTTGAAAGCATTATCTATCAACCTATATGGGTGCAATAATAAAACATTATTTTGAATATGCAAATTAAATATACTAATTAATAACAGTGAGAACTTTCAGATTCACATATAAGTGCAGTGTTAGTTGAACTATTAATCTACATGTTAATTTGAATGTGTCAACACTTGCAGAAAAATTCATTTATTATTTCTTAGTCAACCTTTTTCTTTGAGTCTGATCTATTAACAAAACAACTTTTAATTTAATATCACAATGGAATAATAAAGTGGTATTGTTTATTAAGCAAATAATAAGCTCGTTTTTTATATTTGAATTTAATAACAGTTTTTGAACAACCTACTAGTTTGACACATTAAACTATATGTATGTCTGTGTGGCAGGGGTATTAATGCGTGTGATGGGTGAGGGGGATGCAGTCTTGGTGTTGACCATTTTGGGATGGTAGCATTGTGCAACAGATATTTTGCTGAAAAACTGCATTTTGGGGTGGTAGTTATGTGTGAGAGATGGCTAGAGTAGTGTAAAAGCAGCAAATTGCCATAACTTAATTTAATGTTGTTCATGTAACATAGCTAACACAGTATAATAATTGTAATAATCTATGATGATTAATTGTAATAGGGCATTGTTTTGAAAGTAAAATTAAAATGGATAAAGGCTCAAATAGCCTTATTGTAAATGCAAAGAAAGAATTAAGTTGCCCTTATGCAACTAAATATCCAAAAATGGTATGCAATGTTATGTGTCTGTTACCCAAGTACATAATACTATGCCTAGGCAAGTAATGTAAGTACTAGATGTTTTGACACCCAAATTTCTTAATCATGCTTATGTTATAACGCATTTATCATTAGCATTGATTAAGTGATTTTTATTATTTTACTTTTAAAGTGTTTTAACTTCAACTACTTCAAGGTAGGAGCTTAGGAGTGGTGTTTTAAGTGATACTGTTGCAGTATGTGAATCTGGGTCATCTAATATTAATGAGAGACATTGAATGTTTCTGTCGAACAAAAATCACCATTTTGAAACCTATTTATTGCCAACAACTTAAAAGCATTCTCACATAAAGGCATTTGTTATCAAAACAGATAGTAAAAGGTAAAGTAACAGTTGTCAACACCATGCAGGAAAAAAGCAATGAACTACACAAGCTCATGCCGTATAATGATGCAGACATTTTTTTAAAAATATTCAGCTCGCAGGAAATTGTGGGTTGCTATTATGGCTTTCATATTTCAGACATAAATTCTATGCAGAGTCATTCTAACTAAAAGTAATGTTTGGGAGAAAAATACATTCCTAGCACACAAAAAAACAACACTAGTATTTTTTATGAAGATTAAACAAATAAATCAAAGTAGAGAAAAACAAAATAGTGCAAAAACAAAACAATGAACTGGGATTATAAACACCACAAAGCAAACACTTGAATTGTTGGTTTAAAAAGGGAAAAAAATTCTCACTTCTATTTAGAAATCACTCTGAGTCTTCAAGTCCCCACTGAAAATCATAAAGGGGAAAAAGATTGTGAGCATACAGGTTAAAGCTGCAGAAAGTAAGTGACTGAATGAAGTGCAAAACATAACATGAAAACCAGTTGAGTACATTAATGTCAGGTAGTCTGTTAATGATCAAAATAACTAGCTTACATGTATATTTTCTGCCTCAATTATCACTCTAATAGTAAGAAATTTGACTTAAAATATAACTTCAGAGGAACCCCCACCCCTATATGGACAGCTTGGAGTTATAAGCTGTAAGGCCTCCCTGGTTCAAGGCATATATGTGGAATCAAAACGATTGTTTTGGATGCTAAATAACTATATGCAATGGTGAAAAACCAAAATATACACACTGATGGAAATTTTAATACATAAGTGTATGGGAAACAAAGGTGATACCTCATAAAAAACTCCTAATAACATAAGATATTATCGTAACACTACTTAATATTAGATTTATTGCCGTTGGTTCATGCACCTGTAGTAGGCCTAATATACATTTTTAAAGTTGTGAAACTTGTACCAGAACTGCCAAGACAGACTCATGGTTAACAATACAATGTTTGGGAAAAAGAATTACTCTTTATAACATGCTATATCAATAAATGAAAGGTATATTTTCTAGAAGCTACATGCATGTTTCTTTAGTAATAGGTATTAATTTGTGCTGAGAAAATGTTTGAAGTCATAAGTGCTTCTACTACTTTTCCTGAAATAAGCAGAATTATCATTTAGCACTGCCAACAGAAAGATAAGCCCAGCAAAACTAAATTCCAATACATCAAATTTAGCCAACACTTGCACACACATGAAAATCTAACCACAAAAAGATAAAAGGCTGGGTCGTTGTTTAAAGAAAATGACCTACAGAATTTTCACCTCCAGGATAACTGTCTCCCCCATTTAGGTTCATGTACATCCCACCTTGTCCTGCCATTTGAGATTGTGAAGAAGGAAGGCTATAATTACTTGATCCTACAAAATTAAACAAGTTGTAAAACTTGCTAAATACTGTAGAAATAAACTTAATTCTCTATAGAAATTTCTTGTTAAAGCCTGTTAACATTTTTCAGTAAATCACCATATCAAATGTTTACCTGTAGGAGAAGAAGGGTCTGTAACCATTTGTGATGAAGCTGCAGAAGCTGCTTTAGCTGCATACAAGTTAGCTTCCTCTTGTGCTTTACCAATATTTTTTTTGTATCTGATTCGTTTATTGCCAAACCAGTTTGATACCTAGACAAAAAGTTATAATTTCCATACCCTAAATACAAGAAATACTTAAGATACAGTTATCATTCATTAAATAATGGCGTTAGTGAACACAATTGAATTTTATGTATTAAAAGTATTTTAAGAACACCAAATCAAAAAAAATATTACAAAACTAACCAGAAGCAAAAGATGGAGACAATGAAATGTAAATGATGACAATAGAGGACTTAAGGAACAAACTCAACATGCAGCAATAAAGAGGCAAGTGATATTGCTCAGTCAACCCACTAATAGTTAATGAATCTGTGGTAGTTTCTCAGGGGTAGTCAGAAATGATTGGTTGGCAGATGCATTGAAATGCTAACAATGAGCAACTAACCTGTGAAACATTGATGCCACACTTCCTGGCCAATTCTTCCTTAGCTTCTTCGCTAGGATAAGGGTTAGATAGATGAGAGTAAAAATACTCATTCAAGATCTCAGAAGCCTGTTTGCTGAAATTCCTTCTCTTGCGTCTATATCAGCAACAGAGAGAATAGAAAAAACAGGAAAACAAAAAATCGCGATCTGTTGTGGCCGGAAGGGAAATTGCGCAGAACACCAAATACAAACATACTTACACTTTGCTGAACTGTCTTCTTAAGCACAGGAACCTTTCATTTAACATACAAGACCACAGTAAAAAGACAACTACCAATCACAATCATTCCAACCACCTCAGAGATGAAAATGTGGAATAAGATGTGGATCCTGTAATTGAAGTAGGAATCCAGGTGGAGGAATGAAGAGAAAGAAAAAAGACCTGAGCCCTATTAGAATAGAAAACTGAACAATGTGCCAGGACACGACTAACCTGAGATACTGAAATCCCACATTTCCTGGCAAGTTCCTCTTTCACTTCTTCACTAGGGTAAGGATTACTCAGGTGAGAGTAAAAATATTCGGTCAGAATCTCTGTAGCATTCTTGGTGAAATTCCTCCTTTTTCGTCTAACCAAAAAAAATATATAGGTAAGAAAAGCAGGTTTGCTAGTGTAAATTTTGAAGAAAAAACCCTCTATAAAAGATGTCAACTGTTTTCAAATGACAAGAACTGTTATTCATCTAGCTTGAAAAAAATACAGCCACTTGTAACTGACAATTAAAAAAAGAGGGAAATTTAGCAAACGCTATCTATTCAATTTTTTTCTTTAATCAGCACAGAAATAATCTATTTCAAATCTGCTTTGCTGTAATTCAAGTACACTTACCTTAAAAATGAATGGCTTAACAGTCATATTGTCACTTTTTCTTTTTCATGCAAAAAGAATCTAAACTAATTCCACCAAAGCAAGAATAACACAAACGTCTGACAAATGTCTTACTTACAAGCAAGACAAACTGATAATTAAGTGCAATAATAAATTTACCTAGCAAAATGAGTAATCTTCAAATAGCTTCAAACGTTTATCAATATTAATATTTAAAGGTCTAATTTAAGTCAAAAAATACAAAAATACCGTAACAAAAATTATTTTAAAATAAATTTTAGCTGAATTTAAAAAAATTAAAAACTCAATGCTATCAAAGTTATTGACGACAAGCATACCTAGCATCTAAAAACCGTGACCGCAAAATCATAACAGCTTCACATGTACTTTGTTTCAACTGCATTTCTATAGCAGAAAATTTTTTCCTGATAATCCCAACCATTCTTTCTATTTCTTTTGGTTGAATTGGTCGTGTTCGACTTTGCTCTCGCAAAAGGTTTACCACATGTGTCGTAAATTCATTACAGGCCTGTGCATAATAGAGGAAATAATATTTTAAAATAAAAATTAATGTTAAAGATAATACAATAATGTATACAAGAATCCAGTAAAGTAATGTATCTATGGTACTTGGTTGCATAAGTCAAAGCATATGAAAATGTAAAAAACCACACCAGCTAATTTAACTATTTAACTACTGTCAGGGTGGTAAGCATGTCAGATATTATAATATAGATTTTATAAAAATATATGAATATACTTACTTGTTCATATTTTTCAAGCTCTGTATGGTAAATTTGTCTAATTTGAGCAAGTTTTGCTCGATAATCAGAATGTTCTATGGCACTGTCTGGCTGACCCCCAGAAGCTGCTGCTGTAGCACTAGCAGCTGCAGTAGATCCACCTCCCTTTTCAGGACCAGCTACACCTTCAGCAATAAGCATATTGTCAAGTCTCATGAGCTGAGGATCTGGTGGTTCTTCTTCCTGAGTATTGCGTATACTTAACACTGGGAAAGAAGATGTAAATATTTACATAATATTTAAAATTATTAGGCCTTATAAAGAAAAACCACTGAACAAATTATTTAGATAGGCATATAACAAAGGCAAACAATACCTGTCTTTTCTTTTATTTCACATAAAACATTGAATAGTGCTGGCTTCATTCTATGACAATTGAGCGTATGTTTTCTGTAACACAAAAAAAAATTGACAATCAATGAGTGGTGTACATTGAGCGGACTTCCTAGCTGTACACTAAAAAAGTAAGTATGCTAGTTTAGAGTTGAGAGTCAGAGCTGGTGATCTAGTAATATAGTATTAGCTTCCCAAAATTTTTTGAGTGGCTACCCCCTTTTATAATAGCTAAGTGACTTCGACCCCCTCACAATTAAAAAGTCAATATTAATAAGGAAATTAATAAACACCAAACTAAGATTTTCTACTATTCGAGAATAATTTTTATTTTAAATTATGAATAATTTTGTTTCAATTAGTGTACAACTTTGCGACCCTCCAGTAAGATCTATTATTGTAGGCTATACTGATTATTGAAGTTCACGCTATTTGCTTAATGATTTACTTATTTACAGTGACCTACCAACCATTGGCGTTGCTAGGTCTGGTGTCACCCCCCCCCCCCAAAAAAATGTAGGCTATACTATATATATATTGCTATTGTCGTCACCCCCTTTGATTTTGCCAAATGGCGTCAGAGCGCATCTTGACCCTTAAAGCGCACCAAGCCATAATCGTGGCTTGGCTGTTACACACAAGACCACGACCACGTTGCCCGTGCTTTAAGGGTTATTTTACTCCGCAGTTGGTGTCACCCTCCCCCCTGGATGTAGCATTATTTTTTTCTATAGGCCTACTTGGCATGTTTACATCAAGCCCCCCACCTTGTGGGGTTCATCAATTTATATGTAAATACTTTTTAACCCTAATTAACCATTCATTAAACTGACACAAATAATATTTATTCTAAAAACTTTGCAATTTATTTGTCTTAGTGCCAACCCCCCCCCCCCCCCCCCCCCCTAAATGGTGTCACCTGGTGCCGTCTGCATCCCCGCCCCACCTCTGCTACCACCTATAGTTACTTTTAGGCAATAAGAATAGAACCTTGATCTAGTCTTGGCCTTAGCTTAGATTCTATAGACTAGACTGATTTAAAATATTAAATAGGCCTCTATCTATAGGATTACTTTAGAATATTTATAATAGAATATAATATATAACAAGCTCAATAATACTGACCATACTTAATTTGGCTGAATCTAGATCAAGCCTTAAGAAGAATGTTAAGATAAGTCAATTCTAAGTTTAATTTATTTTAATTTATTTTAAACCTAATATTTTATTTTAATAGAATCTAGATTTTCTAGATCTAGATCTAGATCTATTCTTTTATTTTTATATTTTAGATCTAGACTAGACTAGGCTAGTGACTGATCTTAGCCTAGGACTAATTTAATAAAATAATAAAAATTTAAAACCTTGCTTGGGCTTCGTCCAAGCTTTGATCAGTTATTGTCATGATTTGCTGCAAAACATCGCCAATTTCTTGCTTTCTTTGATCACTATGATCTCCTTGTCCATAAGAACCATCATAAGCTTGAGGCATAACGTTCGACATAACCTGGGCCTGTGATGGATGCGTCAGTCTTTGTTGATCGTCCATCTTGGCAAAGTTAAAAACGCCCTCGACAGTGGATTCGTTATAGAAATCTTGTGCTATGCAGTTCTCGCATAGACAAAGTTAGACATACGAATATAAATATAATGTTTGCTTTGAATTACATACATTCAAAAAAAGTAATGATGCCTTAAATCACCATGTGCATAAGCACCTGGCGCTCTGCGATAATTTGCACAGAAATAACAAACTATAGACTTTCACATGCCACAGAAGATATGGCGGCCTGAATACATAATATAATGATCCACTGTGGCAGCTAACCAATCAGAAGAGCACGAACTAACTATTTTTCATGCGCAAACGTCATGCGCAGACGTGCTTTCACACAGTTACCACTTACGATGAGCACAAGGAGGAAGGGTTTACTGATTTGATTGGTGATTGACAAGACCTGTCAAACTTGACAGGTTGTCAGTAGAAGTTATGCTTAAGAAGTTTGTTTACGTTCGGCATAAATTCGACAAATCAGCATTGAGGACCAAAGTTTTTGTTTAATACATCGCTGAAGCGTGTGGATCTTGTTTAAATATAGATTCTAATGAAAAATAAATAAACCACATTATCTAGATCATTTAAAAAACCTAGATTATCCAGACTAGATTTATCCAAAATGTAGTTAGATCCCTATATGCAATAATATTTTTTTAGCGCAATTTCCATACTGACGATTGCGATTATTAATTCGTTATTTCTGGATGGATGGATGGATGGATGTGTGTCCGCAGCTTTAAGTCGTATCTCCTCCTCAACGAAGCAATATCGAGGACTAGTTCCAAAAGCAATTATGTTAAGCAAGTTACGAGGATGAACATAGGCCATACAAATTCCGGGTTTCTTTCATGGATTTCCCGAAAAAGCCAAAAAGCCTCGAAAAAAATGCAGTTTTTGGCCCATATCTCGGCAACCAGACCACTTAGCGACTTGAAACATTTACCAATCGATTCCTGCCATAATTTAGAACAATATTGCCGAAGAAAGTTTTCAAAAATATTCCTTTGTTCGGTCACAAAATAAGGAAATTGCGCTTAAATTGTCACTAGACTTTTTATTAACTTGTTTTCAATCTCGTTAATAAATATTTTTTTCTATTTTGTTTTGAATTATTAAAACTACCTGTGTTGCATTATTTATTTGCTGAATATATGATTTATCTCGATTTAAAATTGTTATGGATAACATAAGGAAATTGCGCTTAAATTGTCACTAGACTTTTTATTAACTTGTTTTTAGATTTTGGTGACATAAATATTTTTTAAGCGTCAAGAGGCTAAGATTAAGATGCCTAAAGAGACTATAGAGCAGTGGCGTAGGATTTTTGGGCCCCTATGTAAAAATTATCAGTGGGCCTCTTCGTCAGCCGTTAGGCCAGTGGTGTCACTAGGTCGGGTGTCACCCGGTGCGGCACTTCGTAGAGTCACCCCCTCCCAGGTAACAAAGCAAAAATAAAAAAATAAAAATAAAATAAAATATATATATATATATATATATATATATATATATATATATATATATATATATATATATATATATATATATATATATATGTGTGTGTGTGTGTGTGTGTGTGTGTGTATCGGCCTACATAGGCCTAAAATTTATATATATGCCACATACTGGTGCACGTACGTGTATAAGCTGTAATCACTGCAGACTTAATAGTAACGATGTTTATCTACAGTCTGTTTATAATACAGTTGGATGTAGCATTGATTTCTTTATAGTTTACGTTTACGTCGTGGTGTCACCCCCCCCCCCCCCCCCTCTTGAAATAATTTTCGATTTGTACTTAAAAGACTATTTAATTTTAATTCATCACTAATGGATCTGGAAAAAAGGCATTTCATTGTATAAGTTTTGCAATTTTTTTGCCTTTGGTGTCACCCCCCCCCCCCTAAATAATGTCACCCGTTGCGGTCCGAACCCCCGCCCCGCCTGCGTTAGGCAGAGGCGTAGCGAAGGTGGGGCGGGGGGGGCATATGTCCCCCGCCGACCTTAGAGGGCGCCAAAATGGGTTGGAAAAATAAATTGAAAGCTTGAAGGGTCGCTACGCCTCTGGAGTTAGGCTACAGATGAGTTAAACGAAGAGATCAACTTCTACTTACGATGGATATTTTTTAATATATAAATATTCTGAAGGCAACATTTTGTATTTTATATGTCCTGATTATGTATTTATACTATATTATTATGTAGGCCTACTACTGCTAAAAAGTTATAAAAAAGTTACAGGCTTATATTACAGTTAATTTGCTCTTTTTGTAAGTAAACAAACACAGTAGCATCATAAGGTGGGGGCAGGGATGTCCGAACCCCCGCCCCGCATATCGGGCACCCGAGCGAAAAGGGGGGGGGGATACACATGCCAAAATTATGGACAACCCCTATCAGAGGGGGGGGGGGGGTGCGGAACGGACCGGACCGGGTTACACCCAATTGTTGTGTGTGTGTGTGTGTGTGGGGGGGGGGGGGGGGGGGTTGACACTAAGACAAAAACATGCAAATGGATAGAAGAACAATGCTATATGCTGGTTCAATTAATAATTAATCGGTGTTAATCAGAGTTTAAAGATCTTTAAAGTTTTATGCTAACTATCGAGAAAACCATGCAATGTTGCTTTGTTCCTTTTGAATTGAAATAATGTGTTCACATATTCACGCAAATTGACAAAATGGGGGGGGGGGGGTGATATATATATATATATATATATATATATATATATATATATATATATATATATATATATATATATATATATATATATATATATATCATTATATATGCCATTTCGGCTTGGTCTGTTTGTGTATCTCATTGCCATTCCTGCTACTGTTATCATATTTTTTCCTTTTTAATTGTAGTCGGCGTATTTCTCAAATATTTAGACATTTTTCCCCGTCAGTATTATGTATGATATGCTGTCAACGTGAACAACATCTGCCCACAAGAACACAATTTGTTCATTTATGAATTTATAACTTCAAATATCACATTATTCACTTTATTTCTCATGTTCTCAAAATGCCTTTTTCGGGCTGATTTTTATTTTTTCCTTACATTTTTGGTCAATTTTTCAAATCTTATTTCCAATGGAGCTTATATATCGGATGGGTACACTAGCTTGTTGATTCGCTTAGGTCTAAATAAAACTCATTTGTTTGTATGGATGAATTTCCGTAAACCTAACTATCTACATACTATAATTGTATATATGTATAAAACTATATAAATATATACATGAATTGGATGGTATTTTGTATATATATATATATATATATATATATATATATATATATATATATATATATATATATATATATATATATACAGCAAATATTATTATTAGCCGAGCTAATGTCGCCAAAGGCTAGTTACAGTATATTTGGCTCTTCAGGGATAGCTGTTGTTGTTGAACTAAATATATCCTCGACTTACTTAAATGTCAAATTCGACTACTTAGCTTTTCTCAAACGAGTCGCTTCAGTATTATAAATATGAATGTTTCACCCCAAGAACAATTAAATGAGCATTCAACTACTGGTTGGTAACCATAGAAACAACATTAACTTGCTCCTAACGATTTTCAACACAAATACATACATTCAGCTTACGACGAAATTGAATCAAACAAGAAAAACATTACACAAAAGAAGGATTGATTTCATTTTAATCGAACACAAATTATATTCTTATAAAGAGAATAAAAAATTACTGATAATAATTTCAACAAAACTAAAAACAGTACTCTAAAAACTAACTTTGTATTGGCATTGAGATTGATAGAGTACTTGATTGATCAACTATAAAGTGGGCAGAGGCGTAGCCTGGCTGTCGGTGTAGAGGGAACCGCGACCACAGCCTTTTTTACACTTATATATATATATATATATATATATATATATATATATATATATATATATATATATATATATATATATATATATATATATATATATATATATATATATATATATAATTCTTTAGTTTGTAGCATCCCTGACGATAGTATTGTACAATAGTCTTTGCAATAACCGTGGTTAATACTTAAGAGTTGAATGTTTAGATTTCATCAGCTATGTTGAAAGATGTTGATCTTTTACAGCTCAGACAGACATCCGTCAAATAGATCTTGTACTGGTGACATCCGGCAAATAGATGTTTTAGTTTTACAGATCTGTAAGCATCCGGCAAATAGATGTTTACAAATCTGTAAGCATCCGGCAAATAGATGTTTATAGATCTGGAGGCATCCGGCAAATAGATGTGACATCAAGTCTTATGGGCCCCATCATAAGGAGAGGTGACATCAAGTCTTATGGGCCCCATCATAAGGTGACATCAAGTCTTATGGGCCCCATCATAAGGAGAGGTGACATCAAGTCTTATGGGCCCCATCATAAGGAGAGGTGACATCAAGTCTTATGGGCCCCATCATAAGGAGAGGTGACATCAAGTCTTATGGGCCCCATCATAAGGAGAGGTGACATCAAGTCTTATGGGCCCCATCATAAGGTGACATCAAGTCTTATGGGCCCCATCATAAGGAGAGGTGACATCAAGTCTTATGGGCCCCATCATAAGGAGAGGTGACATCAAGTCTTATGGGCCCCATCATAAGGAGAGGTGACATCAAGTCTTATGGGCCCCATCATAAGGAGAGGTGACATCAAGTCTTATGGGCCCCATCATAAGGTGACATCAAGTCTTATGGGCCCCATCATAAGGAGAGGTGACATCAAGTCTTATGGGCCCCATCATAAGGAGAGGTGACATCAAGTCTTATGGGCCCCATCATAAGGAGAGGTGACATCAAGTCTTATGGGCCCCATCATAAGGAGAGGTGACATCAAGTCTTATGGGCCCCATCATAAGGTGACATCAAGTCTTATGGGCCCCATCATAAGGAGAGGTGACATCGTCTTATGGGCCCCATCATAAGGAGAGTTGACATCAAGTCTTATGGGTCCCATCATAAAGCCAGTACCAACAAACCGAGCAGTTTTTATTCACCCCAAGTACATTTTGGCTACCATTAGGCTATTCTTGACCGCCAAGCTTTCCGCCTTGTTGCATTGATTAGATGACTTGATAAAGCACCAGACCACTGTTATGGAAGGCCAGATAATTGATTAGACAAATGTTCCAGGGATGTAGGTCAGCAAGTTGACGGAGATCACTACAGGTTTTAAGTAAGAAACTCCAAGGATATGACACATTAGGCCGGCCAATATAAGACAACAAAGGCTGCACTGTGGGAGACGCCCTGGACAGTGAAGACTCCAGAAGTGATGAGTACAAATAAATACGTTAATAGCAGATATAAGTGGCGTCATTTTATAAGAAGAGTTTTGTCTGAAGGACTAAACAAAAAGCATGCGATAAGTTTCTAAAACCTATTAGATTTTCACTACCATTGACCAGCCGTTGGATGTATCTGTTTATGAAACGCGGTTTATTTTTCTTTAGGTTGTTTTAATTTTTAAATAGCATAACACTTCGAACAAGGAGCTATCTCGAGGGGAAGGTGACAGCTCTCCCCTCTCACCCGCACACCCAGCTACGCCTCTGCAAAGGGCGAAATCTGGCCAACAGACGTGTGTCTGTGCGGCCTGGAAGAATGTACGAGAGAATATCACAGAAATAAAGACAAAACAAACCGAGGAAAATTTCCGGTAGCTACGTGTTGGTCGAGAGACTAAGAATCCTCCACGATAAGTGGGATGTTTTCATCTAAATCTGTCGCAGTATAAAACACGTGTTTACTATGCTTTGTTTGGTCCCTGATTTTTTAACTTCTTGAAATCAACAGGTTTTGAAAGTAAATATGAATTGAGGGTTTTCTTTAAAGTAGTTTACTTACAGTTAAACGACAACGTAATCCTTTGGTAATCGGAGAGAAAATAAGTATATATATATATATATATATATATATATATATATATATATATATATATATATATATATATATATATATATATAATGTATAGGCCTATATTTATATGCATGTTCTAGCCGTATTAAAGGAATATTTAAATGGAAGTCATTATATCATTAACACAGTCCAAATTATTTAACAAGGGTAATAAAACAAAAACGTATCTAAATAGGTTTATGTATAGGGGCCTATTCATACTTCAAGGGCCGTTACTTGTAACATACACATTTAGGAAAGATAACTCATAATTTAATCATGATATGGAGTACATAAGAAATCACAAATCGAATAGTGAATTATGGCTAGAAAAGACATTGTCAGCAATCAATACAAAATATAATAATATAAACTCGCGCACATCTGAGAGATCTTAATGGGAGCATATTTTGTGTAGCCTGGAGTTACCTGACTAAAGCTGAGAGAACTCACTCGGTACCACTCTGAAAGTCTAACTACTGCAGGCTAAGATAACATCTCTACAGCCGTTCTTGATGAGGGGTGGTGGAGGTGGTGATGGTGGTGACAGGGTGGGGGAGGCTTGTGTACATGGATAATGGGGTGTGGCAGTTAAAGCTAAATGAGAAAAATGATATTACGCTAGCACACAAAGCTTCACAACTTTCGTAAAATCATTTACAACAAGGAAATTCAGCCATTAGGAAAATGTATGTTTCCATGTAATTAATCTCTACATACAGCTTACACATCTCACACCCAACTTACAGCTACATACATTCACCTGCCACAGTAGCATTGATGTTGTCACATTTACACACATTCTATGAAAATGATGCACATGAAACATATTTCATTATCAAAAGACGAGAACTGAGAACTAGATAGAATTCTTTACATTGAGTCAATACGCGGCTACTGATAAAACACATGCCCTTCTCATCTCTAAAATCATTAAAATGTAATAAACAAAATATATTGGTCTTTACAATTGCAATCAATAAAGGCTCGTGGTCAGGCCGGGCTAACGTCTTCATGACGTGATTGCCGGCTAGCTAGTTCAATCCACCCAAATGATTGTCACAAGCATGTTCTACTTAGCATATTTCAACTACGTGGCGCTGACTCAAATTGGACAAAGTTCACATATCCAAGAGACGGACAACGAGCAGTTTACGGTGATTGAAGAATGACATTTTTCTTCCTTGTAATATGTTTAGAATTGGAAACACCAAAATATTTTGTTATCAAAGTGTAGAATCTTTTAACCACCGCCCATTTCAATCTGGCTAAAGATGGATATGTCATCGGATGGGCAGATAGCCCAACATTGTCTGGCTAACTGACCAGGTGGGCAGATAGCCCAACATTGTCTGGCTAACTGACCAGGTGGGCAGATAGCCCAACATTGTCTGGCTAACTGACCAGGTGGGCAGATAGCCCAACATTGTCTGGCTAACTGACCAGGTGGGCAGATAGCCCAACATTGTCTGGCTAACTGACCAGGTGGGCAGATAGCCCAACATTGTCTGGCCAACTGACCAGGTGGGCAGATAGCCCAACATTGTCTGGCCAACTGACCAGGTGGGCAGATAGCCCAACATTGTCTGGCTAACTGACCAGGTGGGCAGATAGCCCAACATTGTCTGGCTAACTGACCAGGTGGGCAGATAGCCCAACATTGTCTGGCTAACTGACCAGGTGGGCCCAACATTGTCTGGCCAACTGACCAGGTGGGCAGATAGCCCAACATTGTCTGGCTAACTGACCAGGTGGGCCCAACATTGTCTGGCCAACTGACCAGGTGGGCAGATAGCCCAACATTGTCTGGCCAACTGACCAGGTGGGCAGATAGCCCAACATTGTCTGGCTAACTGACCAGGTGGGCAGATAGCCCAACATTGTCTGGCTAACTGACCAGGTGGGCAGATAGCCCAACATTGTCTGGCTAACTGACCAGGTGGGCAGATAGCCCAACATTGTCTGGCTAACTGACCAGATGGGCAGATAGCCCAACATTGTCTGGCCAACTGACCTTTTGTTCTGATGGGACGTTTAGCTACTTACACAAACAAATGCACACCATTCTGCCATAAAGTTATTAATATCCACAGGTAAGACATATCCACCTAAACAAATGAAAAAAAATATGCACACATAAAATAAAGGAAAAACTGGCAAACACTTGGGCTTGCGTTCCTGTCTCCTGTAGATAAAAGAAATAAAAGTCTGTCAAAACATACGGCTTTAAAACTGATGACTTTCTAAATACATATGGTTTATAAACTGAAATTTTCATACATTTTATAACTACGTTTGAACAAATACCATTCCAGTTAAAACAACGGCCTATTTCTAATTATATTCCATTACAATTTATGACATATGCTATTTTTTTAACGTTACGTTTAAATAACGATTTTCAGTTTTATTTACTGATATTTACTATATATCAATTTCACCAATATACAGTATCAATATTACTGATAAACATTATAGCAATTTTAAAGATACACTATAAATCAATTTCCCTAAGAAAAATTTGAGTTTTACAGCTACACAAACATACCATTTAACGATTACTCAATACACTAATAATATACAATAACCATTAAAAGAAATTCACCGATAACAATTTACTAGTATACAAGTAAAAGAATTATAAATTGCCGCCCTTGTTTCATGTGGTCAAAGGGGAGTAACTATAGATGTTCTCATAATTTCATGAGTTAACCCCCTTGCATGAAAAAAAATGAAATGAGCTAACAGCTGACAAATCTAATATTCATTACCTCTATTGCAAAAACAAATACAAAAAGCATAAAAAACGTTTTAATAACAAGCTTTTGTATCTCAATGCACTTAAAATGAGAAAATGAATGATTTTCTTTAAATCTATAATAATAAATTACTATTTAAATAACTAAAAAAGACAAGCAAGGGTTGCTATATTATGTATTATATAACTTCCCTAGAATTTAAAAAGCGACCCACACATTTTTATTTGATATCGAAATTTCGCTCGCCAGTTTCAATCCACGAGGAAGCAAGCTAAATAAAAGCTTGCATTTTGAGACACACTACCAACCCTGCTTAGCGTCAAATCACATTATCATACTCAATTTTATGTTTTTGGAAGTATTTTTCACACGACTTACCTGACTTAGATACAACTCACCTGACTTAAACACAACTCACCTGACTTAAACACAAGATTCACCTGTCTTAAACACAACTCACCTGAAGATTCATCTGACTCGTGTTTTGATCGACCGGTATCTTTTGTTATGATGGGACTCGCGCCTACGCCCTGTCTACCCTGGGGCTTAGGGGCGTAATTCTGGAGATCAAAGGTACAAGGTGGGGTCACAGGTCATTCTGTTAACAAACTAGTGGGGGTCACAGGTCATTCTGTTAACAAACTAGTGGGGTCACAGGTCATTCTGTTAACAAACTAGTGGGGGTCACAGGTCATTCTGTTAACAAACTAGTGGGGGTCACAGGTCATTCTGTTAACAAACTAGTGGGGTCACAGGTCATTCTGTTAACAAACTAGTGGGGTCACAGGTCATTCTGTTAACAAACTAGTGGGGTCACAGGTTATTCTGTTAACAAACTAGTGGGGTCACAGGTCATTCCCTTAACAAACTAGTGGGGTCACAGGTCATTCTGTTAGCAAACTAGTGGGGTCACAGGTCATTCTCTTAACAAACTAGTGGGGTCACAGGTCATTCTGTTAACACACTAGTGGGGTCACAGGTCATTCCCTTAATTAACTAGTGGGGTCACAGGTCATTCTGTTAGCAAACTAGTGGGGTCACAGGTCATTCTCTTAACAAACTAGTGGGGTCACAGGTCATTCTGTTAACAAACTAGTGGGGTCACAGGTCATTCTGTTAGCAAACTAGTAGGGTCACAGGTCATTCTCTTAACAAACTAGTGGGGTCACAGGTCATTCTGTTAGCAAACTAGTGGGGTCACAGGTCATTCTGTTAGCAAACTAGTGGGGTCACAGGTCATTCTCTTAACAAACTAGTGGGGTCACAGGTCATTCTGTTAACAAACTAGTGGGGTCACAGGTCATTCTGTTAACAAACTAGTAGGGTCACAGGTCATTCTCTTAACAAACTAGTGGGGTCACAGGTCATTCTGTTAGCAAACTAGTGGGGTCACAGGTCATTCTGTTAGCAAACTAGTGCGGTCACAGGTCATTCTCTTAACAAACTAGTGGGGTAACACTAGTGGGGTCACAGGTTATTCTCTTAACAAACTAGTGGGGTCACAGGTCATTCTCTTAACAAACTAGTGGGGTCACAGGTCGTTATGTTAACAAACTAGTGGGGTCACAGGTCATTCTCTTAACAAACTAGTGGGGTCACAGGTCATTCTCTTAACAAACTAGTGGGGTCACAGGTCATTCTGTTGACAAACTAGTGGGGTCACAGGTCATTCTCTTAACAAACTAGTGGGGTCACAGGTCATTCTGTTGACAAACTAGTGGGGTCACAGGTCATTCTCTTAACAAACTAGTGGGGTCACAGGTCATTCTGTTAACAAACTAGTGGGGTCATAGGTCATTCTCTTAACAAACTAGTGGGGTCACACTAGTGGGGTCACAGGTCATTCTCTTAACAAACTAGTGGGGTCACAGGTCATTCTCTTAACAAACTAGTGGGGTCACAGGTCGTAATGTTAACAAACTAGTGGGGTCACAGGTCATTCTCTTAACAAACTAGTGGGGTCACAGGTCATTCTCTTAACAAACTAGTGGGGTCACAGGTCATTCTGTTGACAAACTAGTGGGGTCACAGGTCATTCTCTTAACAAACTAGTGGGGTCACAGGTCATTCTGTTGACAAACTAGTGGGGTCACAGGTCATTCTCTTTACAAACTAGTGGGGTCACAGGTCATTCTGTTAACAAACTAGTGGGGTCATAGGTCATTCTCTTAACAAACTAGTGGGGTCACACTAGTGGGGTCACAGGTCATTCTCTTAACAAACTAGTGGGGTCACAGGTCATTCTCGTAACAAACTAGTGGGGTCACAGGTCATTCTGTTAACAAACTAGTGGGGTCATAGGTCATTCTCTTAACAAACTAGTGGGGTAACACTAGTGGGGTCACAGGTCATTCTCTTAACAAACTAGGGGGGTCACAGGTCATTCTCTTAACAAACTAGTGGGGTCACAGGTCATTCTGTTAACAAACTAGTGGGGTCATAGGTCATTCTCTTAACAAACTAGTGGGGTCACACTAGTGGGGTCACAGGTCATTCTCTTAACAAACTAGTGGGGTCACAGGTCATTCTCTTAACAAACTAGTGGGGTCACAGGTCATTCTCTTAACAAACTAGTGGGGTCACAGGTCATTCTGTTGACAAACTAGTGGGGTCACAGGTCATTCTCTTAACAAAGTAGTGGGGTCACAGGTCATTCTGTTAACAAACTAGTGGGGTCAAAGGTCATTCTGTTAACAAACTAGTGGGGTCACAGGTCATTCTTTTGACAAACTAGTGGGGTCACAGGTCATTCTGTTAACAAACTAGTGGGGTCACAGGTCATTCTGTTAACAAACTAGTGGGGTCACACTAGTGGGGTCACAGGTCGTTCTGTTAGCAAACTAGTGGGGTCACAGGTCATTCTTTTGACAAACTAGTTGGGTCACAGGTCATTCTGTTAGCAAACTAGTGGGGTCACAGGTCATTCTGTTAACAAACTAGTGGGGTCACAGGTCATTCTGTTAACAAACTAGTGGGGTCACACTAGTGGGGTCACAGGTCATTATCTCAACAAACTAGTGGCTGATTAGGTAAAAAGCAGTGTTTCATTCAGACTTTTTTTCTCCGGGAGCCCTTGAAATTTCCGGGGGGGGGGGGGGGGGGGGGGACGGTAGACTTAGACTTTCTGCGGGAGATGGGCGGGGGAGGCTCCGTCGTCCGAAGAGATGTCTGAAAGAAACTCTGGTTATAAGGTCGGGGGTGGGGGAATGATGGATAAATAATAAGTTAATAAATGTAAAAACCTGATTAGGTAAAAAAGTAGGTGGGTAAGATTTCTGCATGATGTACTGGTTCACAGTGGTCGTGATAGACTTTGTTGTGGGTGGGGGCGGCTCGGTCGGTTTTTTTGTCTTTTCTTTGTATTCTGTGGTAGAAAGACAGTGGCATGTATTAGAAAGTTGCTAAGGCAGTTGAATGTGAAATTTCACAAAAGAGAATCACCTCCCCCCTTTATTTTAGATTGGTTTTCCAGATTTGATACTAACATCAAAACCAAGTGAGAGAATGAATGATTTAGTCCAACATCAAGTATGAAATTACACTGACATCTATATAAAAAAATAAACAGCTAACATAATTGATTAATATCCATGAAAAAAAAAACGTTATACACGATCAATGCAGTACTCACCGAGTAAATGCATGACGTCACTAGCCTCCCCCATGTCATTGGAAGCGAAACACACATATTCACCAAAGTCCGAGGGTTCGATGTCTTTTATTGTCACTGTCAAGGTCAGTTTGCTTTCATCTTCAACAGCATAATCTAATTCTAACTGAGAAGTGCAAGAAAAATAATTGTTCAAGTGAAAGAAGAAGGTGTCTTGTAAAACCACTGTAAACACATCCAATTATGCTTCCCAAAACTATTTTTGAATTATATTCGTCTTATGATGTTACAAAAGTGTGAACATCCAACAGATTGCTGGTTATTACGTCATCTTTAAAACATGGCGGTTAGATAGCCCAGGGAGAATGAACATAAGAATGTAGACAGCTGACCTAATGATGTATTGAGGATGTAGACAAATGACGTAATGATGTATTGAGGATGTATATAGCTGACCTAATGATGTGCTGAGGATGTATATAGCTGACCTTATGATGTATTGAGGATGTAGACAAATGACATAATGATGTATTGAGGATGTAGACAGCTGACCTAATGATGTATTGAGGATGTAGACAAATGACCTAATGATGTATTGAGGATGTAGACAAATGACCTAATGATGTATTGAGGATGTAGACAGCTGACCTAATGATGTATTTAGGATGTAGACAGCTGACCTAATGATGTACTGAGGATATAGACAGCTGACCTAATGATGTAATGAGGATGTAGATAGCTGACCTAATGATGTACTGAGGATGTAGATAGCTGACCTAATGATGTACTGAGGATGTAGACTAATGACCTAATGATGTATTGAGGATGTAGACAGCTGACCTAATGATGTATTGAGGATGTAGATAGCTGACCTAATAATGTATTGAGGATGTAGACAAATGACCTAATGATGTATTGAGGATGTAGACAAATGACCTAATGATGTACTGAGGATGTAGACAGCTGACCTAATGATGTATTGAGGATGTAGACAGCTGACCTAATGATGTACTGAGGATGTAGACAAATGACCTAATGATGTATTGAGGATGTAGACAAATGACCTAATAATGTATTGAGGATGTAGACAGCTGACCTAATGATGTACTGAGGATATAGACAAATGACCTAATGATGTACTGAGGATGTAGACAGCTGACCTAATGATGTATTGAGGATGTAGACAGCTGACCTAATGATGTACTGAGGATGTAGACAAATGACCTAATGATGTATTGAGGATGTAGACAAATGACCTAATAATGTATTGAGGATGTAGACAGCTGACCTAATGATGTATTGAGGATGTAGACAAATGACCTAATGATGTATTGAGGATGTAGACAAATGACCTAATAATGTATTGAGGATGTAGACAGCTGACCTAATGATGATGTGGACAAATGACCTTATGATGATGTAAGGAGCTGACCTTATACTTATTTGATGTACTGAGTTGCTTAGAGCCAAACTTCCATGCCGCCGTGGCCTGAGGGTACCCGTTGACAAAACACTCCAAGATGGTGTCCTTGCCAATGTACTGGCTTAACCTTTTGTTGGCAACGTTGACTTCTGGCTGAACTAGGACAGCATACACACACTTAGCTTAGGGAAACTATCTATTTATTGGCACGTTGACACGTTTACTTACATTGACAAGTTTACTTACATTGACAGAAAACTAGAAAGGCCATAAAAAATTACATGGAAACGATTAATTAATGTCGCAAGTTTACAAATGTTGACAATATCATTTACGTCAACAGGTTTATTTACATTGACACGATTAATACCATTGAAAGATAAGTAGACAAAGAATTTTGACAATTTGACTTACATTTGACTTTAACCACCGTGGTCCGCTTCATGCTAGGGGGGACCGTGTTGTCAGCCTCACACTCGTATGGCCCCCCACACGACCGTGTCACGTTGTGGATGACCAGTATCTCACCGCTGTTTCCAATCTCTGACATACAGAGGATGGCCAGTTAATAACAAGAGATGGAAACTTGTGGTCAACTAGTGGCCTAGTTTTGGTTTAGTCTTAGAGACTAGAGGGTAATGTTAACACATACGTGTACGTCTTCAAGAATGTAACTATTGTATGTTAACACTTCCGTGTGTTGCTATATGAATGTAACAATTGTATGTTAACACTTCCGTGTGTTGCTATATGAATGTAACAATTGTATTTAACACTCCCGTGTGTTGCTATATGAATGTAACAATTGTATTTTAACACATCCGTGTGTTAACACAAAGGTCACATTGTAAGATGGTTGTTATTAAAATGGCTGTTATTATCTTCAATTGAAGCCAGGCCACGTTTGACTAGCTACCAATAAACCAGTTAGCTGCTGACAAATGCGAGGCTAATTTAGGGTAGTGGCATGCACAAAAACACCAGCCAAGCTCCCCACTCACACGCTCACTCATAAATTTTCGCGGTTTTTTAAAATCCTTTCGACTTTTTTTTTTTTGTTAATTAGATACGGCATTCTGTAAATGAAATAAAAAGATAATTGGTATTTTTCAAGAAATAAATTTAGGGCAATGAGTTCGAGGATGCTTTAAACAGAAATATTTGTTGGCTGCGCTAGCTAGAGTTAATGCTTGCTTTAGTCAGAGTTTCTTCCAGACATCTCTTGGGGGAGGGACTCTACGAAGGAAGTCTACCGCCCCCCCCCCCCCCCGAACGAAATTGAAATTAAATAGAACATGTATACTTTTATCAGTGTCCGCCCTACGGAAAATTTATCCCCCCCCCCCCTTCGGAGAAAAAAAGTCTAGAAGAAAGACTGGCTCTAGTTACTGCTACCTAGAGCAGTGCTAGCTAGAGCAGTGCTAGCTAGAGCAGTGCTAGCTAGAGCAGTGCTAGCTGGTTACAGCAGCAAAGTAAAGGAAGTGATGGTTTATTAGCTGCAAGCAATAAATATTACATTCAAATCTCTCACATTTATTTAAAAACAACATTACATATACACATTTATAAATGATTAATTATGCCAACCAATGTTTTATTCTCATGACCAAATAACAAAACAGTTTAGAAATCTATCGGTAGGTGTGGGGGAGGGGGGGGGGATCATCACACGTGTCTTCTTGACCTTCGGTGGGGGGGGGGGGGGGGCGGGAATCACATGTGTCTTCTTGACCTTCGGTGCGGGTACTCAAGGTTACCCAGACACAGGACAAAGTTCAAAACACAAGTCAGCGGTTGGTTCGTACTTTTTCAATGTGTATAAACTTGTGTGTGTGTTTGTGTGTGTGTGTGTTAATATGTTTTGTTTCTCTCTTTCTTTCCTCTCTCGATATCTGTGTATATGTATGTCTGTGTATATGTATTTATTTATATATTTATGAGTGTATGTGATAAGCTCGCGTCTGTTCTGCAGTGTTTCTTCCAGACTTTTTTCTCCGGGGGGGTGGGGGGGCACTTGAAATTTTCGGGGGGGGGGGGGGCGGTAGACTTTCTTCGGGGGGGGGGGGGCGGACACTGTTAAAAGTATATATTTTCTATATAAATTATATAAATTTCATTTCGTTGGGGGGGGGGGGGGGAGAGATTTTCGCCCCCCCCCCCCCCCCCCCCCGAAGAGATGCCTGGAAGAAACTCTGCTGTTCTGAGTGAAGCTACCGTGATGTCAATTTTTAAAAGGCGATACAATGAAAATGCTACGGTCATGTATAAATACAAGATTTAAACGGCGATACAATAAAATTGCCACGACTATATATAAAAAAATATTTTAAAAATTACAAATTTACTAAATGTGTGCAGGTAAAACATGCAAGAACAGCAATTAAAGCCGTCAAAAAGTCCATCAACAAAATTAAAAAAAATAAATTAAGCAGCAACAAAATGTCACATACAAAACAAAACTAAGAAGCACATATTGGCACATACGTACTGTAGGTCATAGGTACCACCTGCTCCACCCACCAGAAGCTACTGGCCAAACCATCAAGATCTCGTTTAAAAACCTAGCAATAGTCTACGAGATGATGTACCAAACCATCAAGATCTAGTTTAAAAACCTAGCAATAGTCTACGAGATGATGTACCAAACCATCAAGATCTCGTTTAAAAACCTAGCAATAGTCTACGAGATGATGTACCAAACCATCAAGATCTCGTTTAAAAACCTAGCAATAGTCTACGAGATGATGTACCAAACCATCAAGATCTCGTTTAAAAACCTAGCAATAGTCTACGAGATGATGTACCAAACCATCAAGATCTTGTTTAAAAACCTAGCAATAGTCTACGAGATGATGTATCAAACCATCAAGATCTAGTTTAAAAACCTAGCATAGTCTACGAGATGATGTACCAAACCATCAAGATCTCATTTAAAAACCTAGCCATAGTCTACGAGATGATGTACCAAACCATCAAGATCTCATTTAAAAACCTAGCAATAGTCTACGAGATGATGTACCAAATAATCAAGATCACGTTTATAAATCTAGCAATAGTCTACGAGATGATGTACCAAACCATCAAGATCTAGTTTAAAAACCTAGCATAGTCTACGAGATGATGTACCAAACCATCAAGATCTAGTTTAAAAACCTAGCATAGTCTACGAGATGATGTACCAAACCATCAAGATCTCATTTAAAAACCTAGCCATAGTCTACGAGATGATGTACCAAACCATCAAGATCTAGTTTAAAAACCTAGCAATAGTCTACGAGATGATGTACCAAATAATCAAGATCACGTTTATAAATCTAGCAATAGTCTACGAGATGATGTACCAAACCATCAAGATCTAGTTTAAAAACCTAGCAATAGTCTACGAGATGATGTACCAAATAATCAAGATCACGTTTATAAATCTAGCAATAGTCTACGAGATGATGTACCAAACCATCAAGATCTAGTTTAAAAACCTAGCAATAGTCTACGAGATGATGTACCAAACCATCAAGATCTAGTTTAAAAACCTAGCAATAGTCTACGAGATGATGTACCAAATAATCAAGATCACGTTTATAAACCTAGCAATAGTCTACGAGATGATGTACCAAACCATCAAGATCTAGTTTAAAAACCTAGCATAGTCTACGAGATGATGTACCAAACCATCAAGATCTAGTTTAAAAACCTAGCAATAGTCTACGAGATGATGTACCAAACCATCAAGATCTAGTTTAAAAACCTAGCATAGTCTACGAGATGATGTACCAAATAATCAAGATCTAGTGTAAAAACCTAGCATAGTCTACGAGATGATGTACCAAACCATCAAGATCTAGTTTAAAAACCTAGCATAGTCAACGAGATGATGAACCAAATAATCAAGATCTAGTGTAAAAACCTAGCAGTCTACGAGATGATGTACCAAACCATCAAGATCTCGTTTAAAAACCTAGCAGTCTACGAGAATAACAGTGGTAGACATACGAATACAAATTTTAGATATGAACTTTCGATTTAGCTGTTTTGAAATTTGAGATACGAAGAATAGCGACCTATGAAGTTCGCGGAAAAATAAAATACACATCGAAGTTGCAACTGGCTGTATCGGTGCTATTTGATGACACTGATTTTCTTTACATTCTGAAGGGGCGGGGGAAGGTAGAAACAAATCTCCTCAGACAGGTTTTGTTTTAAAAAACGGCCTGCTACTGACAGTAAGAAAAGCGTGATAAAAGGCAAAGAACAGTGAAAAGCAACTTTTCAATAGATACCCTTTTAAAACTATACATTTGTGAGTCTTTTGATTGGAAGGAAATCTTGATAAGTTGATACAAACAAAACAATTTCTGTAACAAGCCGTAAACAGTGAAAAAAGTTAACAATTTAAATCCCCACCCCACTAAATGCATATTTGGTAAAGTAAAAAAAAATCATTTTCAATTTGAAGCACTTAATCTGATGTAGTAGAACTACGAGCTTGATGCACCAACCAGTCACCGAACCAATCAAATACAAATCAAACTTTGGGCAAGCAGAATGAAAGATTTGTTACAGAAATAACAGGTCAAATACAAAGCAGACTTAGAGCAAGCAGAATGAAAGATTTGTTACAGAAATAACAGGTCAAATACAAAGCAGACTTAGAGCAAGCAGAATGAAAGATTTGTTACAGAAATAACAGGTCAAATACAAAGCAGACTTAGAGCAAGCAGAATGAAAGATTTGTTACAGAAATAACAGGTCAAATACAAAGCAGACTTAGAGCAAGCAGAATGAAAGATTTGTTACAGAAATAACAGATCAAATACAAAGCAGACTTAGAGCAAGCAGAATGAAAGATTTGTTACAGAAATAACAGGTCAAATACATAGCAGACTTAGAGCAAGCAGAATGAAAGATTTGTTACAGAAATAACAGGTCAAATACAAAGCAGACTTAGAGCAAGCAGAATGAAAGATTTGTTACAGAAATAACAGGTCAAATACAAAGCAGACTTTGAGCAAGCAGAATGAAAGATTTGTTACAGAAATAACAGGTCAAATACAAAGCAGACTTTGAGCAATCACAATGTAGCAAGCAAAAGGACAGAATTGTAAGAGAGTAAACTAAAATGCCAGAGCTGAGAGAGAACACGTTGGACGGTGCAGCTTAGGGTACAGTGGTACAGTTTTCTTACTAGAGTCGGCACGGCATGACTCACTCGCTCTCTCCTCTCCGTACGACCTCGGCACACGATACCACGTGACCAGAGGACGGGGAAACCCCGTAGCGTTGCAGGTCAGCGTGACCTTCTCCCCCTCTCTGACGGTGATACTGCCATCCTCGGTTGGCGTCACAATATTGGGTGGCACTGAAATAAATATATGACATGACATGATGTCACAATATTGGGTGGCACTGAAATAAATATATGACATGACATGATGTCACAATATTGGGTGGCACTGAAATAAATATGACATGACATGATGTCACAATATTGGGTGGCACTGAAATAAATATTTGTAGTAATATGACATGACATGACGTGACGTGACGTCACATGACAGATGAAACATGACGTGACAAATGAGACATGACATAAGATGACGTGACATGACCAGCGACCCTGGACATGACAGATGACACATGACAGATGAGATGACGTGACTGACCAGCGACCGAGAGCATGACAGATGACACATGACAGATGACACATGACATAAGATGACGTGACTGACCAGCGACCGAGAGCATGACAGATGACACATGACAGATGACACATGACAGATAAGATGACGTGACTGACCAGCGACCGAGAGCATGACGCCGTGGAAGATGGAGGGGTCCGTGTTGACCTGGCAGGTGTACATGCCCTGGTCCGAGTGCTTGACCTTGTCCAGCTGCAGGTTCCACTCCCTCTCGTTCCGGTGCTGCACGCTCAGCCGCATGTCGTCGATGACCCGCTGGTCGTTGAAGGTGAGCACAGTGTCCCATTGGTCCACCCACACCACCTGCACAGGCAGCAATGGTCAACAAGTCAACAGGGAGATGACTTGGTCACACCATGTGACTTAGTCTAAGTCAGCAGGGTGATGACTTTGTCACACCATGTGACATAGTCTAAGTCAGGGGGAAGGTGACAAAAATTCACCCAACATAAACTTTTATTTACATTTGATCTAGATAAATAGATTGTGAGTCATGATGTGAAGTCAACTTGTGAGTCATGATGTGAAGTCAACTTGTGAGTCATAATGTGAAGTCAACTTGTGAGTCATGATGTGAAGTCAACTTGTGAGTCATAATGTGAAGTCAACTTGTGAGTCATGATGTGAATGACCGATTGAAACATTTGACGCGTGTAACGACGAGGTTCAGAAAGTGCTGCTAATTATTTATTTAAAACATATTTATCTAATTACAGATTTTCTTAAACGACACATTTTCGATTGTAGAAAGTTGTATGAAGAAAGTATAAACGTGGCCAGATTATGAAAACAAAAGGTCCTTATTGTACTTAATAATCTAACAAATGTACAGTTTATAACAAATGTGAAATTTCCTGTTGTTGAAGAGAGAACACACATTGAGCATAGAATGTGATGAGAGAACACACATTGAGCATAGAATGTGAAGAGAGAACACACATTGAGCATAGAATGTGATGAGAGAACACACAATGAGCATAGAATGTGATGAGAGAACACACATTGAGCAAAGAATGTGATGAGAGAACACACACTGAGCATAGAAAATGTGTGGCAGTCAGAGATCTAACAGCACACCGAATAGATTGGATGCTATGGATAGAACCAGCTCCCACTGGCAGGCTGACTGGGTCTAGAACCAGCTCCCACTGGGGCCAGAACCAGCTCCCACTGGGGCCAGAACCAGCTCCCACTGGCAGGCTGACTGGGGCCAGACTGGGCGATGGTCAGCTGCAGTGAGAACTAGTCCGAGCAACCAGCTCAAAGTTTAAAACAGTCGACGGAGATTTGAACAGGAAATTTAGAAAAGTGAAAGCGAAAGTAACATCGGCAAAGCGGAAGTAACACCAGCAAGGCATAAAACATGTCTGAAACAAAAAAAACGAAACAAAGTTCTGATCACAGTGGCAGCGCTTGATGTCCATTCCATGTTAGCCACATCTGCTGCTGACCATACATGTGTTTTTTTATTATTCTTGCTGATTACCTTTTAACCATAGTATTAACAGATTGTCTGCATATATACCACAGTATTAGCAGATGGCCCTTTGCTGTTTAAATTGAAAAGAGTCATTTTATTCATATCTAAAATTACAAAATCATTACAATATGATTTTGGGACAATTACTCAAATTATTGCTAGTTCTAGCTTGTGTAACATTTTTTAGTAGTACAGTAATTAGTTGGTACAAATTTAAAATCATTCTTACATTTAACATATATTTACTGTCATTTAATAGCATTTTACTTCAATTTATGTAATCTAAGTTTGTTAATATTTTATTTTTAAATTAGCTCACCATAAGAAATATAAAGATAAGCTTAGAGGTGTAGCGGAAAGAGAAATATCAGTGTTACGAAGAACCATAAAGAGGTGTATCTAGCTACTAAGAGAGAAACCGGAAATGTCTAGAAATATGCGATAGAAAAGATGACGTGGACAGGTCACCCTCACACGTGACTGTCGGCCAGAGTGACAGGAAATGTAAGCGCATGCAATTACCTTTACCTTATGACGACCTAAATTGCTCACTGAACATGGCAAGATGGCCGTCCGACCTTCCGCTACGGTGATGTTTGTTGACGTGTATTCGATGACGGGTTTTAATGTGCCCAGTACACCTGAAAGTAAAGAACAATAGGATACAATATTTGGAGACATTTGGTGAGGGAACACCTAAAAGTAAAGACACAACAGTAAAACGTAAGATAAAATATTTGGAGACATTTGGTGAGGGAACACCTAAAAGTAAAGACACAACAGTAAAACATGGGATAAAATATGTAGAGACATTTGGTAAGGGAACACCTAAAAGTAAAGACACAACAGTAAAACATGGGATAAAATATGTAGAGACATTTGGTGAGGGAACACCTTAAAGTAAAGACACAACAGTAAAACATGGGATAAAATATTTGGAGACATTTGGTGAGGGAACACCTTAAAGTAAAGACACAACAGTAAAACATGGGATAAAATATGTAGAGACATTTGGTGAGGGAACACCTTAAAGTAAAGACACAACAGTAAAACGTAAGATAAAATATTTGGAGACATTTGGTGAGGGAACACCTTAAAGTAAAGACACAACAGTAAAACGTAAGATAAAATATGTAGAGACATTTGGTGAGGGAACACCTTAAAGTAAAGACACAACAGTAAAACGTAAGATAAAATATGTAGAGACATTTGGTGAGGGAACACCTTAAAGTAAAGACACAACAGTAAAACGTAAGATAAAATATTTGGAGACATTTGGTGAGGGAACACCTTAAAGTAAAGACACAACAGTAAAACATGGGATAAAATATTTGGAGACATTTGGTGAGGGAACACCTTAAAGTAAAGACACAACAGTAAAACGTAAGATAAAATATGTAGAGACATTTGGTGAGGGAACACCTTAAAGTAAAGACACAACAGTAAAACATGGGATAAAATATTTGGAGACATTTGGTGAGGGAACACCTTAAAGTAAAGACACAACAGTAAAACGTAAGATAAAATATGTAGAGACATTTGGTGAGGGAACACCTTAAAGTAAAGACACAACAGTAAAACGTAAGATAAAATATTTGGAGACATTTGGTGAGGGAACACCTTAAAGTAAAGACACAACAGTAAAACGTAAGATAAAATATGTAGAGACATTTGGTGAGGGAACACCTTAAAGTAAAGACACAACAGTAAAACATGGGATAAAATATGTAGAGACATTTGGTGAGGGAACACCTAAAAGTAAAGACACAACAGTAAAACATGGGATAAAATATTTGGAGACATTTGGTGAGGGAACACCTTAAAGTAAAGACACAACAGTAAAACATGGGATAAAATATGTAGAGACATTTGGTGAGGGAACACCTAAAAGTAAAGACACAACAGTAAAACATGGGATAAAATATGTGGAGACATTTTGTGGGGGAACACCTAAAAGTAAAGACACAACAGTAGAACATGGGATAAAATATGTGGAGACATTTTGTGGGGGAACACCTAAAAGTAAAGACACAACAGTAAAACGTAAGATAAAATATTTGGAGACATTAGGTGAGGGAACACCTTAAAGTAAAGACACAACAGTAAAACGTAAGATAAAATATTTGGAGACATTTGGTGAGGGAACACCTTAAAGTAAAGACACAACAGTAAAACGTAAGATAAAATATTTGGAGACATTTGGTGAGGGAACACCTTAAAGTAAAGACACAACAGTAAAACATGGGATAAAATATGTAGAGACATTTGGTGAGGGAACACCTAAAAGTAAAGACACAACAGTAAAACATGGGATAAAATATTTGGAGACATTTGGTGAGGGAACACCTTAAAGTAAAGACACAACAGTAAAACGTAAGATAAAATATTTGGAGACATTTGGTGAGGGAACACCTTAAAGTAAAGACACAACAGTAAAACGTAAGATAAAATATTTGGAGACATTTGGTGAGGGAACACCTTAAAGTAAAGACACAACAGTAAAACATGGGATAAAATATGTAGAGACATTTGGTGAGGGAACACCTAAAAGTAAAGACACAACAGTAAAACATGGGATAAAATATTTGGAGACATTTGGTGAGGGAACACCTAAAAGTAAAGACACAACAGTAAAACATGGGATAAAATATGTAGAGACATTTGGTGAGGGAACACCTTAAAGTAAAGACACAACAGTAAAACATGGGATAAAATATGTGGAGACATTTGGTGAGGGAACACCTTAAAGTAAAGACACAACAGAAAAACATGGGATAAAATATGTAGAGACATTTGGTGAGGGAACACCTTAAAGTAAAGACACAACAGTAAAACGTAAGATAAAATATTTGGAGACATTTGGTGAGGGAACACCTTAAAGTAAAGACACAACAGTAAAACATGGGATAAAATATTTGGAGACATTTGGTGAGGGAACACCTAAAAGTAAAGACACAACAGTAAAACATGGGATAAAATATGTAGAGACATTTGGTGAGGGAACACCTAAAAGTAAAGACACAACAGTAAAACATGGGATAAAATATTTGGAGACATTTGGTGAGGGAACACCTAAAAGTAAAGACACAACAGTAAAACATGGGATAAAATATTTGGAGACATTTGGTGAGGGAACACCTAAAAGTAAAGACACAACAGTAAAACATGGGATAAAATATTTGGAGACATTTGGTGAGGGAACACCTAAAAGTAAAGACACAACAGTAAAACATGGGATAAAATATTTGGAGACATTTGGTGAGGGAACACCTAAAAGTAAAGACACAACAGTAGAACATGGGATAAAATATTTGAAGAAATAGAGGAAAAAAACATTTCTTTAATGAAAGGATTGGACAATTAAAATATGTAAATGCTTTTATAAAAGAAATGAAGTTTCAGTAGGTCTTCCTCAGTAGGTCTACTTCAGTAGGTCTAGCTCAGTAAGTCTACCTCAGTAGGTCTACCTCGGCCTACCTCAGTAGGTCTACCTGCAGTAGGTCTACCTACCTCAGTAGGTGTACCTACCTCAGTAGGTCTACCTGCAGTAGGTCTACCTCAGTAGGTCTACCTCAGTAGGTCTACCTGCAGTAGGTCTACCTCAGTAGGTCTAGCTCAGTGGGCTACATCAGTAAATTTCATTAAAAGGAACATACGTCATCAATTTCTTTAAAAGGAACATACGTCATAAATTTCATTAAAAGGAACATACGTCATAAATTTCATTAAAAGAAACATACGTCATAAATTTCATTAAAAGAAACATACGTCATAAATTTCATTAAAAGGAACATACGTCATAAATTTCATTAAAACATTATTTCCTATTGTGCTAATTGGGGAATCATTGGATGATTCACGCTGCAATAATAAAATAATCATTTTAGAAAAAAAATGATATTACGAAATTGATGAAAAATCCGGCCATCCGGCAAAATTTCTCACATATAAATTTCAATATTCGCCATATCATTGTATGATTTATTATAATTTTTATGTCATACATTTGTGTGTGTGTTTCGGATCACACGGAGATTTAACATAAGGTTAACAGCAATCATTTTATAATTAGCGTGTCTTCAATGTACATGTTGGTCAGACGATAGTAGCCCACGTGACATACATTCAAGCTGAGCATCGGTGCTGTTCGTGAAACAGAAACTCTAGAATACTGACCACCCACCCACTCACCTCCCCCCCCCCTCCCCTCTCAATTCTAAGCATCCGCCCCTGTGTTGTTTGATTAAAATTCTGTACGATCAATTTTTCAAGCCCATCATTTTTTTTTTAATCGGATGTGGGGAAAAAAAAAGAGCCTATAAAAAAAAATAGGCTTACGTAGTGACGGCTGGGTAGGAGGGGGTGGGGGTGACGGGGTAGGGACGGGGAGCGGGGTGTGAGAGAGCGAATCCTTTTTTTAGCTGTTTCATTTATCTCAAGTAATGTGGACATGTAGCCCACACGTTACCCCACAGCTCCCCCCCCCCACCATCACTGGCCCACCGGATCACCCCCTCCCTCCCCCCACCATCACTGGCCCACCGGATCACCCCCTCCCATCGACTGGGCAAGCTGCATCCCATGCTGACATGTAGCGTCCCGATACACGACGATCGTTTATAACGGCCGAGTAGGAAACATTTGATTGGCTGTTTCCTTTCATTCATTAATATGGCGCTGCTACATTTGTAAGCATTTCCTTTAATCTGTAGCAACAGATCTATGGGCCTCGGTATTTATAGGTTTATGGCTTTATATACCAAAAGGCTTTGGGTATCCACGGGTCTATGTATCCACAGACCTATGTGTCTTTATATCAACAGGTCTATGGGTCTTTATATCCACATGTCTATGGGTCTTTATATCCACATGTCTATGGTTCTTTATATCCACATGTCTATGGGTCTTTATATCCACATGTCTATGGGTCTTTATATCCACATGTCTATGGTTCTTTATATCAACAGGTCTATGTGTCTTTATATCATCAGGTCTATGTGTCTTTATATCCACATGTCTATGGGTCTTTATATCATCAGGTTTATGGGTCTTTATATCCACATGTCTATGGGTCTTTATATCAACAGGTCTATGGGTCTTTATATCCACATGTCTATGGGTCTTTATATCAACAGGTCTATGGGTCTTTATATCATCAGGTCTATGGGTCTTTATATTCACAGGTCTATTGGTCTTTATATACACAGGTCTATGGGTCTTTATATCCACAGGTCTATTGGTCTTTATATCCACAGGTCTATGGGTCTTTATGTCCACAGGTCTATGGGTCTTTATATCCACAGCTCTATCGGTCTTTATATCCAAATGTCTATGGGTCTTTATATCATCAGGTCTATGGGTCTTTATATCATCAGGTCTATGGGTCTTTATATCCACAGGTCTATTGGTCTTTATATCCACAGGTCTATGGGTCTTTATATCCACATGTCTATGGGTCTTTATATCCACATGTCTATGGGTCTATATCATCAGGTTTATGGGTCTTTGATATCAAGAGGTCTATGGGTCTTTATATCCACAGGTCTATGTGTCTAAATATACAGGGTCCATGGGTTTCTATATCTGTGGGTCTATGGGGGCAATGTATCCACATGATATAGCCTTCTATATCCATGGGATT